GTGGGATCCCTGTGAAAAAAAGGGGGGGGCTCTGGTTCAATTTACTCAGTGACATGTTCCCGGGTTGCGTGTGGAAGTGAAGGGAATGAAGGAGCCACATCTGGATTTGCGACCGCACCAGCTCGGTTTTAGGTTAAGGCGCTGGTTATTAGAGTGTACAGAAGGATGGGCAAATACGGTGGGGAGAGAATGGGGGATAGGAAAAGGGCCCCTGGGTTATGAGGGGGTATGCTGGCGAGCACGGAATGGGAGTACTCGTGATGTACTTTTGGAGGTGAATGTGAGGAGTGTGTGTGTGTGTGTGTTTGGACGGTAAAACCTGTTAGTATGTGTGCGCGTGCGTGCGTGCGTGCGTGCGTGTGTGTGTGTGCTCAGACGCGTAGGGACTGGACGAGAAGGCCGAGGAGGAGGAGGAGGGGAGGAAGCGGATAGAGCAGGCTGAAGGGTGAGGGTCGCGAAGATGTACGATGACGTATGGTACGGATTTGCGGCCGGATGATGGTACGGCTGGTTGCTTGTATGTCGACGGGCAGTGTCTGTGTGTATGTATGTATGTATGTATGTATGTACTAATTAATGTAAGTGCGCAGCCTCTTTTTTTCCCCGGCCACGGGGGATCTTGCGACGACGAAACATAAGTGAGTGCTAAGGCCGCAGTTCGACCTCATGCTGCCCCTCGTTCGTGCCACATTTGGTTCCTGGCTACGTCTATTCCCCCCCCCCGCTATATCCCCCACGTTCCCCACGCACGCGACGCACTTACATACATGTACACATGCACTGTTGTTGCTGCTGGTCTGCTGCCCGGGCTCCTATGGTCAGCAGCTATGCGGTCCATTGATACGCCAGTGGATCCTTTATGGAAGGGTTTCTGATTAGTACATATTATTTGTAGTTGCAGCTTGCTGTGTATGGAAAATATGCAAGAGAACCTTGTTCGCCATGTTCGCGCGGAAATTAGCACCACCCTGGAAAAAGCAACCCGAAATGTAAAGGCCTTTATAGAATCGGTTGTTATGCATGCCGCTGCAAGCCGGGCGGCAAGCTGCTGGTCGATGGCTGCAGGGAGGCAGTTGTGCTCCTCTGCATTTGCTGCCAAGTGCCCCTTTATGGAGATCACTCGGAATATCCTTTTGCTTGTCACCAGCGGTCGGTATCAACCATAACAAACCGGTCAGTAATTGGTCGCTTCTGTACCTGGCCGGTAGGAAACTGGGTGTCTGTCTGTCTGTTCGTGTGTCTGTCTGTCTGTCTGTCTACCATTTCCCTCCGTAAAGACAGGTATAATGTTCTGTACGTAAAGGATAACGTACACGCAGTTAAATAATGTCGTCAGTCAGGTTGCAACCACGAGACTGGGTGGCCCGTCATGCCCCTCAATGGATCCTTGTAGTCCTCGAACTGGAACCTTCCAGTCCTAAGGACGATGAGGGTGAGCCCAGCCAAAAGTGACCCCGGTGGGGATTGAACCCACAACCTTCGGATATTTTCATTGTTGGAATCCGACGCGCCACCATTACGCCACGGAGCCCCTTATTTAAGCACCTGTCAATTTTGAGCTAATTCATAAAGTTATACACGCTACGATAGGGACTGCTCAACACTAGTAAGAGAGCCTAAGAAGAAAACGATGGTTATCGTTGGGGTTATTACTGAATCCTACGAATGAGTCCAACCAATGTGGGTTGTTGAATCGTACGAATGTGGGTTATAGAGTTGTGTACGTTTGGATCTTGAGCTGTAAGGCCAACGGTGTGGTGGTTATCGTTTGGATGCATGGCGTTTAGTATGTAGGTCCTCTGATATCCGTCATGGTTCACTGTCTCAAGTTCATGCTTGCAAGAGAGTGGGACTCACCACAACAGATAAAGTTCAAACTCAAAGCACATATATTTAAGCGTAGGAAGATGAAACGTCAGAGCAGATCAAGGAAAACAGGTTCTGCCAGTTCTGCCCCATGCTCCTCCGGAAGCATGAATCCGTGCTCCACACTGTCATGTTCCCTCCTTTGCACCCTATGTTTCAGCCTCCGTGCCCCATGGTTAATGGCATTGATCCAGTCGATGAGCATTTCTATAATGACCGTTTGGCGGAGGTTTGGTGGAGCAGCCTCTCAGTTGATGGGCTGGGGAAGCTGCAGGTGGTTGGTGTGAATACGGTCTGCAATGTGCTGTAGGCGGGCATTGAGCGGTGTGTTGGTGTGTTGGTGTTGTTGTGTTGGTGTGTTGGTGTTGGAGTTGGTGTTGGTGTTGGTGTTGGAGTTGGTGTTGGTGTTGGTGTGTTGGTGTGTTGGTGTGTTGGTGTGTTGGTGTGTTGGTGTGTTGGTGTGTTGGTGTGTTGGTGTTGGTGTCAGGTGATATGGGCAGGGTAGTGGCGGTGTGTTATATATCATTTATATAATGGGGAAATAGATGTGGGCAATGTGCAAAGTTGCTAAGGAATGTAGACAGTTGCCATGAAGTTCATGTGTTGTATATACAAATGGGAATATTCCACTATATATATAGCCACTACACTGAGCAGACACAGCCGCCGAGAATCCGTGGCAGCTAACGGCCGGCCCTAAGAGTTGTAACACCCACGCCGTTGCTGTACATTTTGCATGAGCGGCTGTGCGGCCTCCCTCGCCTGCTGCCGCTGCTGCGCTGGGGTCTGCTCACGACGCAAGGCCTCCATGCGCTGCTGCAAAGCGTCCCTGGCCTGCTGCCGCTGCACCGGCATATGCTCGCCGCAAGCTTTACAGAAAACACCAGGAAACACGCAAGGACCTGCTACCGGCTACTTGGACCATTGGAGCCGAACATCCCCACTAATGCGGATCTATAAACCCCCCTGCAATTTTACAAAGCCCCTCCCCCCCACCGACTTGGCCAAAAAAACAACTTTTCCAGAAGTCAAAACACGCTGTCGAGACGGACGATCTTAAACACCAGGGATCGGGTTTAACATGTCTCACGCATAAATTCTTGATCTGATTGCGATGTCCTGGCCCTACGAAGTAGCGACGGTGGTGGAGGAGTGAGGTAAACGGTGGTGATCAGGGTTAGACAGGACCTTCCTAAAATGGTCGGGTTGCCGGTTTTCCCCTTCCCATGCCCGTCGGCCCCGCCCGATAGCGTTTTTGCATATCTTTCAATTTCTGTCGGGTGCCCCGATAGCCCATCCCAAAACCTGTCGGGTGACGCAAGAACGAAATTTCGCTGTGTGCCACTTGAAATTACATTTATTCGTATTTTATATGCGCAGTTTCCAGTTCTCAGTTTGCAGTTCACAGTTCTGATATGCACGAACAAACACACACACAGCAACACATGCACGCCTGCACGTCTGCCTGTGAGCATCACAACCCGAGCTCTTCAAGGACACCCTTAGACACCGTAGGACTGGAGAGGAACATCTCCCCCTCATCGGCAACCTCACTGCCAGACTCACTGGACAGTTCTGGATCCCCATCACTCATAAATGCCTCGCTGGCCTCCTCTTCGTCATCTTCCCCCTCATCAGCCGGCTCCTCATCGCTCTCAACATCACTATCCAAGCATGGCACTGTAGTGCGTGAAATCCCCATAAGGGTTTTTAGCAAATGTTCGAAAGGGCAATGTAAAGCTGCATATGGTCTTTGTATTAATTTTCAATAAGGCCGAGATAAGGTAGTGTGCCCTTCACTTATGTATCCAAGCATGGATCCCTGTACAGCAGAGTCAAAGGATAAAGAATGCTACCACTACATTACATATTTCCATCCAGTTATATTTTTATGAATGCCATTATGTATCGCTGTAGCTGTCCGTCGCCGAAGGGCCCACCGACGACCCACGGCACCCGATCGGGTGGTCCTAGCGCCCCTAACCATGTCGGGTCCCCCGACGGGGGCTCCCGATGGCCGTTTGGCATTTTCCCCCTTTTTCGTCGGGTCCGCCCGAAAGCATTTTCAAAGCCTGTCGGGATTTTCAGGACAAGTGCCATTCCTGTCGGGACCCGATCGGGCTGTCTCACCCTGGTGGTGATGGCAATGGTGGATTTCTTTATGTTACAGAGTGTGTGTAATCCGCCGGATTCCGTACAGGCTGACGGAATATTTCGGCTCCACAGCCTATATTACAAATTTCCTAATACACGTCTGCAAAGAAAGATAAAACACATGACAGCATATCCCTAGCAGCAGCGGGCTCAGTGGCGCACTGCACCACCGGCCGGAACGAACGCCGCCGGCGCCGCCGCCGTCACAAAACTAGAAAACAAAATAGCAAAAGAACGTCCAAGGTACCAACCGCGGATTGGGCCGCTCCGAAACCACGTCCTTATAGGAATACTACAGCAAAGGAATTGTATGCTCTACTGTTCTGCTACTGCATGAAGAAATAAAGACACAATGCCGACGACGGCCACCATGATGATGCACCTTCTTGGCCACCTGGTGCCGCAGCTGCCACGTCACCTCGTCGCAAGCGGGAATCGATCCGCAACACAGCACTGTAATGGCCCTGGAGCTGCTGCGCCTGTTCATGACACGACGCTGCTTTCTCCAGGCGCCGCCGCATATAATGTGCAGCTCGACTGCCTCACCTCTCTACCTTTTACTTATTACTATATTGCGGCTTGGATGCAGACAGACTTTCATGCAGTCATTCAGAACCTAACGCTGAAGGCTGAGAGGTCGATGCAGAGGGCCTTTAGCAGCAGTAGGACGAGGGGGAGGTTCCAAACAGCTAATAGCCAAACCACAGGGAAGGACCGCGAACAGATACCACAGATCCAGGTGACAAACACACCCACACCAGACCCCGCCTTGTAGGTACCCCGCCTCGCCGCGCAAGCGCGAGCAAGTCTGCGGTGTAAGCGCCAACACTTTCCCCCTTATCGACACTAAGAGAGAGCCAACACACACAGGCACATCAGAGCACGACGTGTGCTCCAGGCTCCGGATTCGCTATCCGCCGGTAGTCTACCACCCTGAGTAATTGTGCTGTTGTATGGGTAGTTCAACCACAAAGCCATTTGCTCCTCCCCCTTTTCGCCAACCAAATCCTCTCTCCAAGACTGACCGCTCTCCTGACCCTTCCTTCCTTTTGCCCTGTTGCCTTAAAAAACATCCTCCTAGCTACATATCGCGAGATGACTGTGTGTTCGCGTGGAGACTGACCGTGTTCCCTAGGACTGAAGAGCCCATTGAGTCCTCCTTTCTGAACTTTCGATGTGCTAGCGCTGCGTTTCCTCCCTCTTGCCTGCGCAGCGTGTGTGTATATGTGTGACCGCGTGGCATAGCGCTTGATGCAACGAGCTGGGCAGCGCAAGAGGCGCAGAAGAGGCGATGAATGTTGTGTTCTCGAAGAACTGCGGAAACGAAAAACGCCAAAAGCTCAACAACCCCTGTCAAGCTCAAAATACATCGGGGTTGCGAGACTGGCCCATCATTCCGGAGCTCGTGGCCTTTTGCAGGTGGAGCGTGAGCGAGTAGTTGCTCACTTGCAGCGTCCGAACCTGTACGGCGGCGGCGGCGGCAGGCGTGTGGGGTGGAGGGGGAACCCCACGTCCACGGAAATCAAAAAAAATGAACTGCCGGCGCCCACAGTCCGGCGGAGGACAATTAATCGCAATATGTGATGTTAGGGGAGAACAGCTGCCGACGGCCCCCACGGGTCGTAGCCGTACACAGAAGTCAAGGAGTGGGGTGGTCGGTCGGGGAGAAAGCGGGGACGGACGGAGAGCACCCGGGGGGAGGTCCCCCACGGAACGGAACGGAGAACACTTGAACATGTACGGTGTAGAAACTTGGTAGCCCAGTGTAATAACAACAACAATAACTTGAGCACCAAACCACGGATGTGCTGCTGCAGCAGTAGAGCAGCAGTAACAGCAGCAGTAACAGCAGCAGTAACAGCAGCAGTAACAGCAGCAGCACAATACCGTTCCGCCTTTCCGCAAATCACCCATATCACCAGCACTAACACCAGCACCCCCCTCCAAACGCACCTGCTCCTGGTACTGGGCGAGGAGCGCCTTGAGCTGGGCCACCTCCCCATCCTGAACCGCACGCTCCTGCAGCTGCCGGTGCTGGATCTGTACGGCCTTCTTCAGTACGGCGTTCTCCTCCGCCAGCTTAGCGGCGCGTGCCGCCAGCGTCGCTGCTGCTGCCGCCGCCGCCGCCGGCTCCCCCCCACTCCCCCCGACGGCCTGGACGCACAAGCTTTCCTCGGTTGGACAGCCCGCGGCCTGCGAACGTTCCAACATGCATAATATAAAGAAATAAGCACACGCAACACAGCGGTGGTCGGCAGCACAGCAGCAGCGTCCAATCCCCTCATAACCCCACACATGAGTCCTCACAGCAGCACACCGGCCGACATACATACAAGCTGACATGCTGCTTTACTGCAGTTGACATGACGCCACAATCCACTCACAACAACAGGCGACAACGGGGTTGTTCGACTGGATGCCACTGCCAGCCAGTAAAAGACGCGCCAGGGCGCGGCAGGGGTTTTCTGGATACATACACACACACCAACTCGACCGTTCATCCTCTCTCTGCCTCCCTGTGAGGATCTCACGACACCTTCATCCAACCATAAGAGCCCGCCAAAATAGCTATAGTACTGACTTGCTTCCTTCTTCCGTCGCCTTCACTGCTGCGCCCTTAGCCAAACCCAACGCCCCCCTCCATTCGCCCAGCCATCCACCTGTAACCCACTTGGCTGCACACTGCCACCCCTAGCTCCACCTACACTAACGACCCACATACCGCGATATGCCAATACGTCTATCTCCTCCTTCATGCCAAAAAACCAGAAGCATTTTCCCCACCATCGATCCGAAACCTTTGTCCACCGAGAAACCGAAAAACCCCGGAGGCCTGAGTCCCCGAGGGCATTGACAGCCACCGCACCTGCTGTTGCTGCTGAAACTGCTGCTGCTGCGGTTGTTGTTGCTGTTGTTGTTGTTGTTGCCGAACGAATCGGGCCACAAACGCTTCGAACTGGCTGAGAAAGCCCGCCGCCCGCTGCCGCGCGTCACTCATATCCGTGGCCGCAGACATCTCCGAGACCAAAAGATCCACCCACTGCTCAGCCGTCGTCGGCCCGCCGCTGCTGCCACTAGCACCAGCCGCGGCGTCGGCGGCGGCAGCACTGGCCCCGCCAAGGGCAGCGGTGCCAGCCGCTGTTGCGGGGGCGGCGGCGGCACCCGTAGCAGAGCCCAGAGTAGATGGCGTTCCCGGGAAGGGGGATGATGATTCTCCTGTGGCGGTGAAGGTGGTCGGGAGTTTGGATCAGGTATGATAGCATACAGAGGAAAGGAGATGACAGAAGAGAAACGGATAGAAATTGCGCAGCTAGAGATACTCATAGCGCAAAGCTTTAGGTTAATCGCTACAACCGGTAACTATCGTGACGGTAATGGTCGTATCGGGGGCCCGCAAGCGTTGGGGAAACCGCCACAGCATGTTGGGAGCTGTGTGCCGCTGCACTGCAGGACGTGTTCACAAATCGGGTTTGCTAGAGCTGCCTCACCCGCTGTGCGGTGTAGACCTGCGGGCGCTGCCGAGGCCGAGGCACGCCCGGCCGAATCAGCTGATCCATCCTCGGTTGTCGATAAATGGAGCTCGCCGAGACGGCGAATTGCAGCATCTATATTGTTCCCGCACTCCGAGAGCACGCTGGAGACAATCTGCATGTTTCATAAACATGGTAGCGGGTTGAGATGCGGGTCCAAAGGCTGAAAGCTCAGCACGACGCGGTTCCGGTCCTCACCCGTTCATCCATGCCAGGGAACAAAGCCAGCAGTGCTGACAATGTGGTCTGCGGCACAGCATGCAGGCCGCCGACCGCAAACTGGACGCACCGCGCAGCTGCCGGACTGTAGTGCTGACGGGAACGTTTACCGCTGAGCTGCCGGTCGAAATTATCGCCGGCGTCGCCCTCGTCAAAATGTCGCTTCGCCAGGACAGGAGATGGCACCGACAGAACCGACATGACCAAGAGGGAGTGTTAGGCTGGGGGAACCCAGCCTTCCCCTCCTCTGTGGGCCCCTATGCTGAGGGTAATTTCTGCCAAAGCTGAAAACAAAATATGGCGTCCGGCTTTGCAACTAAATCCCAGCCAGGGCTTTCCGACAGCTGTTCTCTCTGAACACAGAATTAGATGCTACTATTACAGTAAAAACAACATACCTCTTGGTCCTCTGTGATAAAATCTATTCCTGCGAAGCCGCCTCAGGTGATCCTCGTACAACATAAAGCGAGGCTTAGGGCCTTAGCATGCACCGTGGCCTGCCCTGCAGTCATATCGTGTGCAAATTTGCCTTGGGCAGAAGAATAGAAGCCTCAGGAGCTTTTCGTCATCGGGGTGCGAAAAGCCACACGCTGTTTGCGAACAAACGCAACGTCTAAGTTCTGCGCAACTCTTCTCGGACAGAATTGCCTATATACAACATTTTGTTGCCACGTCGGTGCTGAAATTCTCTTGCAACTTTCTTGCAAAGCGATATATTAAAAAATGCTTTGGTTGACTGGCCGAAGGACCGCGGGTAACGCGCTCACTAACATGCAGGAAGGAGCAATTGCTTATGAATGTTCGGAAACGCATCAAGGGTTTAGCAAGGACCGCCGTGCTGGGGAATCCGGTCGCCTCCACAGCCCTTTGACCCAGGGGTCCATCCTTTCGTATGGCTATGTACAATTGCGTCCATTACATCAAAACATTTTGTGCGAATCTAGATCCTACAATTTTATACACTGATATACTCCTTTCCCAGACCAAAGACCTGCATTGCAGCTTCTGCTCGGCAAGTGTCTTTCGTGTTTGCTTTTCCAACATTTCGCCCCTATACACCAGCACCTCCCGTGTCACTGAACAGCCACAGCCCGTGCATCTCTCCATTCCTGAAAGCATACTTCGGCTAACGGACCCCAAATTTCAGACCGCATCACTTTGCAACCTTCAATCAAAGACCGGTGCTGTTCTTGTCGTCAGATTAGTGACGATTTGTGCGATGGGAAGAGTTGCATAGATGCGGTTTCTAGCCCGTGAAGCAGCTTTGTTGGTGAATACCCTGCCTAGCTAGCGAGTACGTGCCGGTGCCTGTACTGTCAGTAATGAAGTAAGGCTTCGGTGTGGGCAGAAAGAACTCTGTTAGTATTGATGTGCACATTTTAACGTGCACACGTCTACAACCCATAGCTCACGCAATTAAACAATCCACGAAGTCTTTTGTGCTGGGTCCTTGTGGTGTGGACATGGACCCTCTCTTGGGCAGGCCCAACGGCTATGGTGCTGTATGCCTTTTCCCTGTCCACTTCCCGTCCGTTGCCGTCCGGGACAACGGAACACGCTGAAACCGTTTTGCTGCGAATATGGTCCGCTAACACAAGGTACAATTGTTTGTAGTGAGTTTATCAATTAATAACGGAATTAGGAAAGGGTAGGCTATAAAGGCAAGGGACCAAGCACGTTACATTTTACAAATAATTGTCTGACCCGCTGGTCCGAACATGGCTGTACAGAATTGCTTCCTTGATCACTGGAGAGTTTTTGTTTCCTCGTTTTATACTAAAATTATATTACGCAGGGGTTCACGCTTTTCGGCCGCTCTGAATATGACGGGCCGACGGACCGCTATCGTACCACGGGCCGAACTGCTACCGAAGCCATTGCTTGTCCCATGCGTAGCAATACAATTGTGAAATACCAATAGTCACACAAGGGGGCGTGGGGCGCAACTGCAAGATTTGCAACTTGAAAGTGCAATGGTCCTCAATCTTGTCGTCCGATAACATACAACGTGAAGCTCTAAGCTGTCGGCATTTCAACCATGGCTGATCCAAAGGAGGAAAAGCTGGCGATGGACATCTTTGCCTGGTTCCTCAATGTCTCGACAAGCGTGCTTATCGTCTTCGTCAACAAAGTCCTTATGGACCCCAAGATAGGGTATCGGTTTGTATTTGGTAAGTCGTCGATCAATAGCGTGCTGATAGACTGCAACACTTCGCATACCCTCGCGTAAATTTAACTTGAATATCTTGTGGCCGTGTCGCAGCGACAACGCTATGCGCATTCCATTTTTTGGCTTGTGGTGCCAGCGTAAAGCTTATGGAGTTGTTTGGCTATGGCAAGCGTGCGACGATGCCGATGTATGGTAAGGTAGTCAAATTCCCACCTTACAAGTTTTTGATCTTGGGGATCAGAATTACCATTTATTATTTGTGCAGAATGTATTCGCTTCGCTGTAATTGCAAGCGTCTCCATCGCCAGCCTAAACCTGTCCCTGCTTGTCAACAGCGTCGGCTTTTACCAAGTGAGTTAACCTTTTTATGGTAGACACTTGTCGAGATTGTTGCTGAACGTCGCTTCGTGGAAATTGCAGATATCCAAACTCCTCATTACACCTTTCGTGGGCCTCGCCGAGTACCTTTTCTATAAGCGGAGATTCACGGCTCCGACCGTGATTTCCATCTTAACAGTCGTCACGGGAGTCGCAATTGTGTGAGTGCCGATTGCCCGTCTGGATTTACGATGCAACTGATGTCTGCCAGGATTGGGGGGATGGGGTCATCCTGAAAGAGAATCGACCCCTGGATTCTGACAGCTACAGCAAAATGTGTTCAGGGCCTTACAGGAAGAACGCCCCGTATAGATGGGGGGAATCTGGGATGAATATCGTTGATTTGATTCAACATGTTCCCTTCCCGGGGTTTATACCGGGGACACGCTGAAACCTACAAGATTCACAGGGGTGACTATCCTCCTACATGACCCACATCCAGACAAGAAGCAAAACACCTCTCTCTCTCTCTCTTGCCTGCCACAAAGCACACCTCCTAAGCACACTGGCTCCGTGCCTACAAGCCTCGCCCCCGCTGCCTTCCCCCGCCATCAGCACCACCACCACCACAACAACCACCACAACAACAAACAGACGACCCATATCCTCAACCTCCCCTTTTTCCGGCAGTTCATATTCTTGTTCCTTGCCTATGGGCCCACCATCCCTTGTCTCGTTCGCCTCCCCCCCACCACCTTGAGGACCCTTCCTAGGACCCTCCCCGCCCCATGCCCTGGTCAGTCCTGTTTCTTGTACACTCTTTCCCTGGCAGCAGCTCCACTCGTTCACGTGGTTCGTCTTTCCCCCGCCCCTTTCGTGTCCCTTCCCGCTCCCTTCCGCAGCACGGTGAATGACGTGTCCACCACCGTACTGGGCCTCGTCATTGCGGCCATCAGCGTGGTAACCAGCGGCCTGCAGCAGCTCATGTGCGGAGAGATTCAGAAGCGACTCAGCCTCACGTCCACACAGCTGCTGTCCAACACTGCGCCTGTGCAGGTCAGTATAGTGGGTGACAGGGTGGGATGTGGGTCGCGCGGGTCGTGTGGATTGCTCTAGGTGCCTCGTAAATGTGCATTTGCATTTTCCCCAGCTCAACGTATGTTGAAGTATGTTAAGGGCTCGATGGGAGCCAAGGGGGATATCTCGGGCCTTTTTTGCATTGACTCGAGTCAAAATGTCTTTTCGTCAAAATGACATTTAACTCGAGTCAATGCGAAAAAGGCCCGAAATACGTTTTTTTACTATCCCCTTCTCATGGCCTTGCGGCAATGTATGTATAGTAGAATTGTATACATGTATATGTATTCATGAATGGTCACATCAGGATGTCAATTCTCCCAACTCCTTTTTTTTCTGTGCACGAATATAAACGCATGTGCACGCACTCTATTTCTATGCACCCCGTGTGCCATTCGGGCCGCTGCAGGGTGCCATGCTCATGATGGTGGGTCCCTTCGTGGACAAGGCGGTGACCTCCAGGTGGCTCAAGCAGTACGACTGGTCGGTGCCCGCCCTCACGTGCCTGTTCTGGTCGTGTGCCGTGGCAGTCCTGGTGAACGTGTCGCAGTTCATGTGCCTGGGCCGGTTCAGTGCCATCACGTTCCAGGTAAGGCGAGTGTGGATGTGTGTGTGTGTGTGTGTGTGTGGAGGGGAGAGGAGGAGAGAGGAGGGGAGAGGAGTGAGTGAGGTGTGGGAGTGAGTGGGGTGTCGGGACATCACATCACATCACCAGTTGGCCATATCGCCGACAATGTCACGTGTCCGAGCTGGGTTCTTGGCGCTTTTGCTGGGGAAGGGGGGGAGGTCCTCCACGTCCCTCGCCCGCCCACCTCCCGCTGCAGTTAACCCAAGTGGTACCTGAACCACAAAGCCCTTAAGCCCAAGGGCGCCGTTTGTATAAAGTACCCAAGGTATCATGGCGCTGCTTCGGCCCCGCCTTACCCCCTTTTTTTCACGACTACCACGTTTCCCGTACATCATACCCATGGCACACCAGTTCGCGGCCACCCCACCATCACCCGCCAGCCCCTCGGTGGATCCCCTCTTGCTGTGCTCTGCGGTATCATGTGTCGTACCCTGGCGTCCTGTCGTACGTTGTTGCTCATATCACCCCCTTATGACGGTTAATTGGGGACAACCCCCCTATGCCCCAGGTAACGGGCCACACTAAGACGGTGCTCGTGCTCCTCTGCGGCCGGCTGTTTCTTGGGGAGACCATCGGCGCACGGAAGTTGATTGGCATGGTAACTGCCGTACTGGGCATGGTGGCGTACGGATACTTCAACTCTCTGCCGGTGAAGCACTCGTCCAGCATCGCGGGAGGGGGTGCCGGGACGGGTACGACGGCGGCGGTGGCAGGCAGCGGCGCCGGCAGCGGCGCAGGTGGCGGTGGCGGCGGCGGCGGTTCCAAGCGGGATGAAGACGCGGAAGATGATGGCGGCCTCCGGGAGCCGTTGCTGATGGGCGGTGGCGGCGGTAGTGGGAGTGGGAGCTCCGTCGCCGCCGCCAACGGTGGCGTGGCCGTACAGATGTACGGTGGGGAGCGCGCTGGGAACGGGACGGGAGGCGCTACGGCACACCGGCACGGTAGCGGTGGCGGGGCGGGGATGGGGTAGGGGTGCGCGGGCGACGGTGGGGGTTGTTACCAGCAACCTGGACGCCCCCACCGCAGCCGCGATCTCCTCGCCCTATGTCCAAGGTAGGTTCCTCCGAGCCTTTCCTCTGTCCGCCGGCGGCAGCATGACGAGTTCCATCTGGTGGTGTGTGTGTTTGGGGGCGAGGGGGGAGGGAACGTTCCGCGCTGGGCATGCACACGTGGCACTGGGACTCCTGGCGGGATACCCCTCCCCCCTCCCCGCGGTTCCCCCCTCCAGCCAGACCATACGGCAGCAGGACCCGTACCGCGGTAGGTACGGAGGAACATGATGCGGTCCGCTGAAGTAGTTTGCGTGTCGGGGTGTACAGCCCGCCCGAGTACTACACAGAAAGGTCCGGCAGTGCACCGGCAGCAAAAAAGCTCGTGGCACACGCCCATCGCCAGGGGCTTTACGCTTTACCCAACCCAACCAGGGGTTGTAAGAGCCTGGACCTATGAATGCCGATGAAAGGATGCAGGGGCGCGCGCGCGTGCGCGATATAGGTGTGGTGGTACAAGGTACGTGGTACATGGTCACACGCTGCGCATGCGACATTTTGGCAGAAGCTGTAAATGCGTGCTCAGATTGATCTCCGTCGTCGTCATCATCGTCGTCGCTACGGCCCGGCGGATGTTTTGGTTGCTTGTGTATGTTGCCGTTTTCCAGATACACATGCCCTCGGAGCAGTCGTATGATGATAGGACGAGGGCCACTGTCGCCGGACGGCAACACCAAAAAGATGATAGCTTGGCGTTGTTGGCGTTGTTGGTGTCAAGCGATCTTGGTAATCTTGCTGCCGCTGCTGCTTCTGCCGTTGCGTGAGGCGTAGGCTTGCGAATGCTTGTGGGAAGATCATCATGACTCAAGTTTTTTTCAAGTTCCCAGTTTGGATTCTTTCGGACTGACGTCATGTTTGTTCCTGCACTCCTGCAAGGGTGACATCGTTTGGGCTTCTGGCTTCAATGTCTCCCAGTGGGGGTGGTGCCCGGGCCGGCTATATACGTGGCATGTATATGCATATGCCGCAACGTGCGTGCGTCGTCTCTCCGTGCGTGACCCTGCGTGCGCGTGCGTGTGTGCCTTTTATTCCTGCGCGAGTGTGGGGGATGGTTGGTGTATTGGTGGGTGGCTTGGGCGCAGGAATAAAAGCTGGCGGATGACTGCATCTCTCATTTTGCTGCGGATGGAAGGGCCGAGTACGCGTGCGTTTGTAGGTATGCATCTCTAGGGGGGTTCGTGTGTGTGTGTGTGTGGTTGTGGGTGTGGGTGTGTACACGCAGGTGGGAAGGGAGGTTCTTCTAGTACATAGCAGTTCTTCTAGTACATAGCAGTTCTTCTAGTACACGACCCAACCGCAACAAACGGCACCACGCCCGAAGGTCCGTGTCTTCACGCTTTTGGAGGCAACTCTATTTTCATCATCGCCACCATTACCGTCGTCATCATACCGTTGCTGCCTTTGTCGTATGCATACATGCATACGGCCTGCACGGGAGTGGGGATGTTCCAATTGGGCGATGGGCCTCCCGGGGGATAGCGCATATTCCCTCTCAGGCTTGCTCTTTGGTGGGATGCAGGTGCTTTAGTTGTGTTGTTGTTGTGACGTTTTTTTACACAGTAGCAGTAGTTGTGAAATGTAGTGGTGGCAACTTCTGTTTTGCAATATATCGACCACCCTGTTGCTTTGTGTGTGCACACGTATGAATTCGCACATTGCGGAAGTAACGAACTTCCTCCTTGCTCACGCGACAATCAATTGTCTGTCAGGAATTTGGGTTCGGAAAATACTTGGCTTGCCTTAGTTAGCTTTTCGCGCGCTTAATTAATCGTCTGATGATCAGCCCGTTCCCGAGGCTGACTAACCGCGGCTCTGCGCGGCTGGGACCGAAGCTGTGCCGTGTGGTGGTAGTATAGTTTGATTGAACAAGACGGCTCACACAACATGCAGGCCTTGCAAAACACTTAGAACGTGATTTTGAAGTAAAGTGGAGCGCTCTGTGCATGGACATTGCCTAGCAGTAAGTAGAAAGTGTGTATAGCTGATAGACAATTTTTGGGTGAACCTTGGCTCTACGACATTCCCTTCGGGACGAGAAGATTTTCTCTACATGTATTATCTCTTGCTAGTGTTTTGTGGTAGTGGCAGTAGCTATTAGGAAGGGTTGGAATTCTGGCCCGCTGGCATCTAGCCTGAGGCAGTTGATTTTAATTTGAAGGAAAACTTCCTGTGGAGGTAAAATTCTTAAGGTACGTAGAGGCCCACCTCGCTCCATGTCCCGTCTTACCGCACACCAGCTTTGCCCCGCATGGGGAGCACACCTATGTATGTTGTATGGGGTGAGAGCGCAGCAGTGAGAGCAATCACGACCACTGCGGTGGCAGCGCTGCAGCCGGGTCGCGAGGCGGACGGGGAACCTAGAGTGGTGAAGAAGTGGTCGGTGGAGAAAGCCGCTGAACCAAGATGCTGCCCCAGCTACCGAGCAAAGAGAGAGAGGTAGGGAAAAGCGTGCCTACCAGAGTTACTGATGTGTAACTGAAGCTTTGGGAGGGTCATAATCCACGACGTCAGCTGCCTGCCCCGGCTGCTTGGTACCCTGAGCGGTGTCAACAACTGTTTGTCGATGGCGCCTAAAGCCAACTGTCTGTTGGGGACTTCCAGCTGCAGAGAAAAACCTTGGAGGCCGGGGGCCCCCCCCACACCCACACCACCACACACACTCGCAGCAATGAAGCCGAGTTGCCGCAGTGACCCCTCTACCGCAAGATCATCCCCCGGTCGTCTTCTCGTCCCGCAGAGACGGGGGACCCGGACCGGACGGATCCGCGGTTGGAAGCTGGAGAGCTGCTCCTCCTCCTGGCTGCAGCTACAGCTGCTGCTACCGGCGGAGCGCACTTGACCGCGCACTTGCCAGTTGCGGTGACCGTGGGTGTCATCTGGCCTGACACCACCCAAACTCTTCTCCATTTCAAGCCCCGAGACGTGGCGAGACGGGCCCCTGCCGCCCCCGCCGCCACAACAAAAAAGACCCCTGACGGCATACCGCTACAGCTGCCGCTACCACGTCACTACTGCTACTGCAGCCCTCTTCTCCGCCTGGCACTGCCGTTGCTACTGCTGCTGCTACTGCTGTGGTGGCGGTGCCAGGCATTTGTTTACCATGGCCAACAGGTTCGGGTTCTCCAGTGCTGCTGCCACTCGCTCCTTATCCGCGAGCTGCTTGTTGACAGCAGCCTCACTGGAGTGACTTCCGGGGGAAAGCTGCGGAGGGGGGAGGAGTGAGGAGTGAGTAGGAGAATGAGGAAGAGGAGGATGTGCGAGGTGACCTAGTGAGGGCTGCGGGTTAGGCCGGGTAGGCCGGGAACGTGGGCTGCGGACATCATTTGAGCGAAAGAGGAGTGTGCGAAAAGCTGACCCGGTAACTTCCTTGGTAATGTACTTGAGAGGTAGTACTAGGCGCCGGTGAAGGGTTGTGGGACGGGGGACGGCAGAGCCGGGGGTTGCAGGAGGACGGAAGGGAAAGAGGGAGACAGTAAACCCAGCTTGCCAGCTTGCCACATCGTCCTCACCGTCGCATCAGCCCCCCTATCCCCTTCTCCAGTAACTCGGGATACTGGGTCTCTGCAGGCCTCCCTTTCCACACTCGCCCCGGGAACGGATAGCGCCAGCCAGCTGCCTATCGACCTACCTACCAACTACCTATATACCTAACTACCTACCTAAACCACACTGCCTACGGTATACCAACCAACCGCCAACTACCGCCACGGTTGGTTGTCGCAGATCACACCTTAATATCAATCTTGAACCGCGGCGGCAAACTCCGCAGCAGCTTTACCCGGAGGGACAGCCCGATTAGGGTGGCCATGGAGCAGTGCGCCACGGTGGGCGTGAATTGGACACTAGGACGTGTGTATTTGAAATTCAAAAAACAGGAAGGAATGCGGCAGGGGTAAGGAAAAGGCGGGAAAATGAGCCGTGTCCTCTGCAGTAACTAAAAGCGAACAGGTTATTGCTTTGAGGCACATGCGTATCGAGAGGCAGTCGTCCATGAAGTTAGCGGCACTTATTTTAATGAGCGTACGAGGTGACGGGAGGCGTGTGCCGCGCACGCAGGCAACGCAGGGGAGGGCAACTGTAATAGCCCTGTGCGTGCGCAAGGAGAAGGATCGTACCTGACCCGTCCACGCACATCATCCACATGGATCTGCTCCTCTGACACCACGTTGAGCTGCTCCAGGGTGTACGGATGCTCCGGGTCATTTATGTCACGGATGTGGTCAAAGATTTCTAGTGCATCAATCGTTTCACGCCCATCCGCACCCGGAGCTTCTGGACGCTGAGCAGGCTGCAGGCAGGAAGGCGACAAATGGAGGCCATGATTGGACAAGCAGTTCCGTGAGCCGATCTGTGGGGAGCCCAGCAGGCAAGCAGTTCACGAGAACTTAAAATAAGCAATTAGTAAAACAATCTTACTTTCGACCTAACAGTAGATTTCCGCTCATGAACTACAGGGTTAGGGTTAATGAGCTCTGCCATTGCATACTCAACCGCCAAATGTCTTTTACATGATTTCTGATACTTAGTTTCTATCGTACGAATGAATTTTGCAGGCGATGTTGCCAAAGGGAAACATGTGCGCAGAAACTCAGCCCATAGATGTACGACACCCACAGGGAAGAAAGCGTCGTCAGTTGTAGATAGATATTATTTATTCTCACATTATTAGCTTTCTTGGTGCCTGCAGCTCTCAGCCTGGCACGTCATGCGCTTCAACGTTTACTAACGCTGAAGCCCCGAACGTACACGAACGCTTGAAACATCCACCTTCGAATGGGCAACGGCCTTTGCAGCTGCAATAGAGAAAATCTACCAGCTTCACCCGGCCCGTCAAGTCCGGCTCCAGACGAAGGGCCATCCCGGCTCAACGACTTCGCTCCGGAGGCTGCGCCTGCCCCAAACGCTTCTGAGCACCAGTTAAGTGACGGAGACACAACCACAGGATCAACAAGAGTATTACCATTCTCCGCGTCGGCAACTGCAGCATCAGCCCCTGCTAATCCCGTTCGGCATCTCCCACCTGCTCCCGAGCCCGTTCGTGGCGCCCGCGCCCCCCTGATGGCTTCTTCCCCGGGGGAGCGAAAGGCTGCAGAAGAATTAAAGGCGGACGGAAACGTCTTGTTTAGTAAGGGCAAGTACGCAGCGGCCATTGAGGTAGGTACGCATGTGATGCGCTGCTGCCCCCGCACAGCAGAGGTATACCGCCATGACAGTCTCATGAAATAAAATGTAGTCCCAAGGGTTTGACTTAAATCTTAAGGAAAACATCTTCCTTAGCGTTAGTTTGTTTGCATCGATGACCATCTTAATATTACTGCCTATTCGTACTGTACGACACCTTACCGTACAGCGCTACACGGAGGCCATCACGCTGTGTCCGGAATGGGCTGTATTGTACGTCAATCGCGGCATGGCAGCTCGCAAACGCGGCGACTGGGAGCGAGTGGAGGCGGATGCCACCACCGTGTTGGGCCTTGGTCCCCCAGAACGAGAGGCCATGAAGGGCCATTACCTGTTGGGTCTAGCGATGGGCGCCAAGGGTCAGTACGACAAGTCCACACACCACTTGCGCAAGGTTTGTCATCGTGCCTGGGTTTGCTCCCGGGTCGGAGACCTAAGACAAGTTTAAGAAAGGCGGCGGTTCCATGTAAAGGTGGGGTTGGCCAGCCTGGTACGATGCGATAAAACACCCATACAATACAATACCGCCAAAACGGCAGCACGACGACGATAAGCCCCTTTGGGATTCCTTTTGGCCCTAGCGTTTTGGAGAGTGCGGGGAGTTGGTGGGGCTTCAGGGTTTTTGATTCATCGGGTCCATCGCCGTATGTTACAAGTTTACAAATTCCGAACGAATGCGGGGATGTCCATAAATGTCCGGGGCCCTGAACTACATGTTATGTTATGCCGTATGTTATGCCGTATGTTAGTGGCGGGGGTTTGGGTTTCGTCTGTTGCGTTTGTTGCCTTCTGTTGGGCGCTGGTTGGGTTGCTGGCGGTGTGGCGATGTTGGGGGATCCGCGGGACGACAGGAGCGAGCTAGGAACGCAAATTGGGTGGGTGGTGGGGGATGGTTCCCTCTGGGTGTCGTGCCCCTTAGGAAAACTCTCCACCCCCACCCCGCACACACATACACACACGGAGGGTGGGCACTTGCGGGAACACGGGCGTAAGGGTCTGAGGGGCCTCGGGTTTGTCGTACAGTGATGACGTCCTTCCGATGCTGTTGTTCATAACCCGCCAGAGCGTTTTGTAATCCTCCACCGGCTCTTGTTCGTCCATCCAATTATCCATCCATCCATTCATTCATTCATTCATCCATTCATTCATTTACTCGTTCGGGATGGGGAGGAATTTCGGTGTTTATTTCGGTTTACTACTTTCTCCGCCACACGCTTTCGGGAACGGCCGGCCGGCCGCCTGCTTGCGTGGTTTGGACCCTGGTGCTTTCATCAAAGTTGGTGCTCCGAAACCGTGCTTTGGAAACTGTATGTTCTTCATTCTGCTCCCTGTCCCGCCTGCATTCCCACCCTCCCTCTCCCTCCCTCTCCCCGCGGCCTCTCCCCCTCACCCTCCCCGCCTCCAAAAGGCCCTAGACGCTGCTCGCGAGGCCAATGATTCCATTAAAGATGAGATCTGGCGGGAGCTAGCCGCGGCCAAATACCAGCAGTGGCAGACGGAGAGCACCGCCAGGAGATGCCAAAGGAAGGCCCTCAAGCGGCAACTAGCAGGGCTGCTGGTGAGAGATGGTCTCCGGTTTGAGAGTTGTTTGTTTGGTTGTTTCTTTCTTTGTTTGTTTAGGGCTTTAGGGTTTTTAGGGCCGGTGGGTTGGTCAGTTGATGCAAGTGATTGGGCGAATGGCTATGGGTGGGTAGGTGGGGTGCATGTCGCCTGTCACCTCTTGCTTGCGATCTTCCTTTTTTATCTTCTGTGCTCTTGTGTCGTGTTTACGGTTGGGTTAGGCATCGCATCGCAGCTGCTTCGCTGCATGGCAGCAGTCCGGGGGCCCCGCAGCGCGGTCGGCCGGGGCCATACCGTGGGAGCACACGATGGGCTGTTTGGGGCGGCAGCAGGCCGCAGAAAGCACTCCGACCCCACCCGCCCTCGCCCTACCTCGCCCTCCCTCGCCGCCGCTTTGGACAGTTTGCAAATTCGGACGTCGGCATTGTTACTGTAACCGTAACTTTCCCCCGGCTTCCCTTTTGTGTACTGTTATTGCTTATGTTTTGTTCTCAGGGTTATGTACCCGGGTCCGTTGGAAGCCTCGAGAAGGGTGAGGGGCCGGGGCTGGGGGATGGGGAGGAGCCGCAGCTTGTCGGCGAGTGGGCCGCGCTATTCAAGGCGGCGTCTTGGCAGGATGTGGCGGTGGAGGCACCCTCGCAGTTCACATGGTAGGGAGGTGGTGGGGAGGTGGTAGGGAGGTGGTGGGGAGGTGGTGGAATGGTTTAGAAAGGGCTTTCTTGATGGGTTGGCCTTGATGGGAGGGGAGTTGATGGGATGGGAAGGGATGGAGCTCGTTCGGGAGAGGGGGGTTTCATGGAGCCCGTCGGGTAATGCCCAATCCGCTCGCCCAGCACAGCTGCCTAATCCGTGCGCCCGTCGGGTCTCCGACGGGCGCGCGGATTAGGCAGCTGTGCTGGGCGAGCGGATTGGGCATCCGCTGCGTTTTCGACTATCATAGGTATGCGAACGACATCACTCAGGTATGCCCCGAAACAACAAGAAATTTGATCGGATAGAAGGTTCTGGACCTGACTGACAACTTGTCAGTAGCAGATGTGTTGAACAAGATATCGTTTCCGGTGTGGGTACTCCACCTGGGAGGCGGATGAAGACAGAGAGGGGGAGGAACTCGCCCGGCAGTTACAGCCACATCAGACAGGGGCGGGTATTCGTGCAGGTAACAATTTGGATCTTTGTTTTGTGCAGTTTAAGAAGTTACGCAGATAGAACCGGCACAGGTGCCTGGTCCCGGCGCGGTGCGGCCTGCCGTTTTCCTTGTTGGGGTGTTACACAGTGGGCGGCTCGTCCAGAGAAAGGACGAGCACCGGGGCCGAAACACGGCGCAGGTGTGGGCTCGCGGCTACGTCCGTCTGTTTCTCCGCGCGCGCCTCACTCCTCTGCCGTTTTATTCGTATTGATTGTATTTATATTGTTTGTTTATTTGTATTGTTCATCCTGCATCCGTTTGTAAACGTTAATTCTTATTATTGAGCATCGACATATTTTACATGGCTAGCATGTTTTTGTATACTACCTGTTTGTTTGAATACTACCTCTTTGCCTTATGTTTAGTTCTCTATGCATGTTAGCTGTGGCATGGGGCCGATCAGGTTCTGATCAGGTAGGCACCGCAGTGGTACCTTTGACGGCCGTGGCGCGATGCGACGAAGCGACGACATGTAGAACGGAAGAAGTATAAAGCCCGATATAAAGCACCGATTAAAGCATATATACATGAAAGAAAAGTATTCCATGAGCGTAAGCATGCAACGTTGAACCTGTTCGAGCAATGTGGCGATACTCCTCAGAAGGGATCCTATAGAATTGCAAAAATAGCATCAATACAGATAAATAGGATGATACAGGCGAAGTTTAATATAAAATGAAATTAATAGGAACATATCCGAGTCGTGTAGAATTGTCAAAATGAATCGCCGTCACGGGGAATCGAACCCCGGCCTCCCGCGTACTTAGCTCGGATAGTTCGAGCTTATGATGACAGGCGGGGATACTGACCACTATACGATGACGACTTGATGTCGAAGGATGAAAGTCCAAGCTATATAGCTTTAAAACACAACGAATACGACAATTCTCTGAAATGAGAGATGCGGGTCGCCGTCCATGGCGCCCGGGATGTGTACATGGGAATCGAGTAGAATGCCATTGCCCTGGCTGCTCCAATAGGGATCAGAAAAATCAGCTTCTGCTTTTTCATATTCAATTACAGCAAGAAAAGCTAGTTCATGATGTTCAAACTCGAGAATCTATAGTAGAAAGAAGTAGTTTAAGAGACGGAATATTGGGGTTTACGGACACGTGCTTATGAAATTAAGAAGCCGCCAGCTCGGGTGGGGTTGCGGCGCAATCCGCCGCCAAGCGGGCGCCGTTCCCCCACCGATCCTGTGACACGCATGGGGACCAGGCAAGCACCTTTGGATCCGGTCAAGGTAGCGGCCGCGAGCTCAAACGGCTGTGCATTTCATTTTAGTTTCAGCAGTGGAGGCTTCGACGAATTAAAGAAGACCGCTGCATAGGCTAGCAAAGGAGGTTGGGGATTCATATGCAAGAAGCGAAGCAGGGGTTACGAGGACGCACAAATGATTGACGAGAAGGAAAAACCATTGACGAATACTGCCATGATAAGGCCAATACTGGGGGTGAGGGGATTGATCGGTTACCACCCTATCCTCCCGGTGGTGGTTGGTTGCCCGGAACCGAAACAATACCTACTTACGGTCGCTGGGCCCGTCACTTGCGGGGCTCGCACGTCCGTCCTGGTGCACGCTAAGGGCGCTCTGGGGAGGGTTGAGGGCGGCATGAGGGCCGAACGGCTTTTGTGTCTCTTAGCACCTGGCTAGCTAGGGAGGCATTACTACCTACCTAGCTAGCTACCTACCTAGCCAGTTAGCCAGCTGTATACCGCAAGAAGAGAGCCACGTCGGGTGGGCACCGAAGCTGCTCCAAGAGCTGTTGCCGAGGAACCAGCTGGGGGAGAGAGAGGGGGAGAGAGATGGTGCAATGGGACTGAGGGCAAACGCTCTCCGTCCGGCGTTACGTTCGCTTCCTAAAGCTTCCGTGGGCCTGCAGCCGTGCACCGCTGTTCTTAGCGGTACACGCACACGCATGCACGTGCACGTGCACCCTCTTCCGGGTGTCTCTTTCCAGGATGTCCAACATTCCCTGACGGAGGGCAGTGCTGGCTCGCGGATGGCGGCCCTCGCCGATTCATTAACCCGCTGGTTTCGGAGCGGGGTGTCGGAGTTGGAAACAGCTCCCGGAGGCGGTATTTTTCCGTTAGGAGGGCTTAGGGGCGGCATGTAGGGAGGTCCGACAGCTATACCTTGCCCCTTGTGCATCGCAACTCATAAACGGCAACCAGGTGTAAAGTGATACTGCTTGCATTCGTTCATTCCGCAACATTGCCCTCTCCGGACACGTGGCCTTCCCCCCGTCCGGCAGCCCCTTGACGATGGAGATCTTCCGGGATCCAGTTGTCGTACCTTCTGGGAGATCCTACGAGCGGAGCGCCCTGCTTGAACATTTGAAGAAGGTGCGCTGTTGAGGATGGGTGTGAGCTTGCCGGGCTGCCTCAGGGGCTGAGATGTCTACAGTCAGGGAAGCGTGTTTTGTTAGAACTCTATTTAGCACGGCCCTGCCCGGTATATAGTTGATGTTGTTACAGGGTGGTTATGCTTCACCAGTGGCCTCCTTCCCGAGGCAGTTCCCTGCTCTCCCCTGCTAGAGGGGCACCCTAATCCATTCACCCCATCCGACTTCAGAGTGTACTCTTTGAGTTTGGCAACTCACCACCAGCATCCAACCAAATCTAGCGGATCAACGGCGCGTCAACTTAGTTCCTGGTCAGCTCACAAGTTGATTATATCACGTCCTACACCGTCCACAAGATGGGGGGCCACTTCCCATTACAACACCTCTCAAACACCCCGAGAGGTCGGCAGGCGGATTTGAACCCGGACGCGCCGGGAGCAGAAGTCAGGCCTTAACCTCTGCCAGCCGCCTGCTTCATATAGTTGTCTGTCGCGAAATTCTATTATACAGCTCACCGTCTGTGTTCGTGATTTCCCAACCCCACCCCCTCTCTGCTCCTTTCCGTCACCACCCACCTGATGTCATGATGGATTGCTTCACAACGCGCTTCGCACCTTTTTCCTCCCAGATGTCGTCTGATGAGATTGCATTCCTTACTTGTGCACTCCTTCCCGCACCCCATCCGCCTTGGCCGCGGTGGCGGTGGCGGTGGTGGTGGCGGTGATGGTGGGTTGCCCGCAGGTGGGTCGATTCGACCCCATCTCCCGGCAGCCTCTGAGCGAGGAGCAGCTGGTGCCCAATGTGTCCCTCCGGGCGGCCATCGAGCTCTACCTGGAGGAGCACCCCTGGGGCTGGGGGGAGGTCAAGTGAAGTGAGGTGAAGTGAGGGGGGTTCAGCGGGAGGGAAGTTGCCTCCAGTGGAGGGGCGGAGGAGGTGAGGGCAGGCGGATGGAGCAGAAGGTGTGTGTGGGGGGGGTTTCTGTGGTGATGGCGGTGATAATGATGATGATGGGGGGGAAGAGGAAGAGGAGGCGAGTGGGTAGTGGATGAGGCGTTGGTGTCCCTTGGGACTCAAGGAAATAGGTGGGATGTGAGGGAGGGTGGGGGGTGGAACATCCGAGACGGTGACGTGGCCCGGGTGGGAGAAGAGCAAGAAGGGGGGGAGGAGATAGAGGAGGGGGAGGAGGAGGAGGAGGGGGGGAGGAGGAGACACCCGGTCTGTACCGGTAACTGGCGGCATTCAGAGGGTGAGCTGCACGACTCATTCGGCCTTTTGCGCCCGCTCCGTAAATTTCAGCTTGGAACAGTCGTAGGCTGGACATGGCTGATGGCTGCCTGTTGTAGGGAAGCATAGGTTGTGTGTGTGTGGTTGTGTGTGTTGTAGGCTCCTCGTCACAGCACAGGGCTCACCACTGTGTGTGGGGGGGGGGTGGGGGGGTGTAACCAGATACGACACTTATCGACCCTGTTCATTGCTTCTTGACAAATATGATCGCCATTACCGCTGTCCCACATCATGATGTATGCACCGTGATGTGTGATGACACGTGGCCGTGTTTCAAGTGTGTACGTCATGAAATTGGTGCCGTACACGCGCATGTTTCTCTTTTGTCTTTGATGGTTAAAAGATACGGGAAGGGGGCTCCTGCAGCTTTGGGGCCGCGCTGCCGACTCCAGTTCCCTATTTGGGAACTAGGAAGACACGGTATTTCGAGATTACCTTGTTTATAAGGCGACTGGATGGCTGTGTGTGTGTGTGTGTGTGTGTGCATGCGGGGGAAGGGGGAGCAGTGCATCGCGGACGGTCTCCAAACCTGTGCCCCAAATTCATTTGGCTTTGTTGCACATCGCTGTTGGTTTATCCTCAACTTATTATTCTCATAATCAAAATTGCGTTGTGCGATTCATTTATGGGCCTGCTGATGTGGAATGGACGAAAATGGAATGACGAGAAGATCAGCGTGAGCTACAACACATCTTGAGGTGTGGGATGCAATAAGCTTGTGTGGGACAAGACTTGTCAGACACCTTTTCTTTTTGAGCGTCCCGCCTTTAAGCGGGAGACAATCATCTCTTTCTCCCCCCCCCCCGCCCCACCCCCCCCACACACACACATACATGGCCGATTAAAAAAATCAGCGGTTTGCGCCGCTGGCCTATCAAACACTATACCCTAAGCCCACCCTAACCCCACACAACTACAGTTCGCATGGAGCCGACGGCCTGTGATAGACTAGCGCCCAACAGGGATAACTGAGTTGCGGTGAGCCCACATATGCTCCAACATCCTCGCCAGACGTGCTGACTCCCATTTCATGGCCTCCAACATGCTATGTTGATGATCGAAACCATTCCCGCATGAATATCATTTTAGGCTGGGCATTCCCAATAACACGTGGTCTCTATCCTCGACTTGGCTATTGGTGCCACAACGGCGGCAAAACTGCTGCTCCCTGGGGACATGGTACTTGCCCCTTCGTGCTCTGTTTGCCTCCAAAGCCCAGCAATATAAGCGAAACTGCATTAGCTTACGATGTGCTAAACGAGGAATGATTACCTTAGCATGTGTTGGCCACATAACGGCTGCGGATTCCGAAATGAGGTGTTTTGATACGCAGATACGAGCAACACAGTTGTATGGTCGTCAAGTGTGGGTCCCGTTTATGTTGGCTGAAGTCTTGGACAGGCTCAGAAGGCGGAGTGATGAGAGTAACCTTGCGTAGGGACCCTTCGAGGCATATGTCTGAAGGATGGGGCGGTGCAGCTCCAGGTATATCGTTCATGCAGCAAATTGTGGGAGCTGTCAAACCAGTGCACCGCCTCCTGTTTGCCTGAATTGTCACGACTAGCCCTACCCTACCATGTTTCCAAGCAGATTTTGTTGCAGAGGTTTTGAACCGTGTCTGTTTGGGCTCTGTCCTCGCACCGCCCACATATTCCTAGACTGGCTTGTAACTGTCATGGCTGAGGTCGTTGTCAGGAATCGTTGCCCGACCCCCCTCACATGGGCGGCCCCAAGTAAAACGGGCTCATGCGAGAGCTGTGGGGAAGCGCAACCAGTGACACCCATCCCATCACAGCACCATACCTTATGTTACCAAGGAGAAGCCTGGGCCTCTTGTTACACAAGCAAAAGCACTTCATTGCACAGCGTGTGACATACAGACTTACAAACCCGTACACGTAAAGTGAAGCTTCGGAGGCAGCTGAAAAGCCAAAATCGCTGCCTAACAAGCCAGAATAGGAACCGTGTATCGTCCATACAGACACGTCCAGACGAGTGCCTCTGTCTGTCTGTATGCCTGCCTGTGCGTGTCCTTGCATAGGAACCCCAAGAACCAGACTTTGGATACGCCGAGATTTCCACATCACCAAGGCCGAGCCCCACAGCGGCCCCGGTCTTGCTTATATTTCCGTCCGTCTCCTTCCCCGTCTTTGTCCGTCCTGACCTTCCCAAGTACCTCGAGAAACGCGTACGCTCATCAAAACCGCCAAAAGTCAAAACCGCTAGGAAATACCCCAACTGGCGCCGCTCCTATGCCGCTGCCCCAACATGTCCTACGGCGCGGATACTGCTGCAAGACAGGCAAAGGCCACTTCATCCCCCCATAAGAGGGTGCCCGTGCAAGGCTCCGATGATTTAAGCCACAGCTACCGCTGCTCTCTCATTGCCAGCGCCACAGCACCACTGCTACAACGTTGGAGCTGGACTCCAGCGGAACAGTGTAAACCCGTCTGTTTAATGCACGCACTCGCGCCCGCAGTCCATGTTCTTGATACGACATCGTCATCACGAGGGCAGCGGCGGCACTCGTTCCGGCGGCGGCAACCGTTCTCCGTCAGTTTCCCTTCTGCAGAGAGAGAAGGCTTGGTCATCACGGCCCGTCTCCGTCGTGTCCTGATGAGCGCTGAAGTACTCCACGCCCCTGCTGCTGCTGCTACCGTTGCATCACCGCCATTTTATCGCTGCCAACGCAGCTGCTGCAACACTCTTAAATCAAACGAAGACGGCTCTCCTCCCCGAAACGGTTCTCGTGCGCCGCATGCTGCGTTCCCATGCGTGCCGTCGCCACTGCTGCCGCAAGCACCTCCTCCTTTTCGCATCTCGCACACCACAGCGCCCGAGCTGGCCTCCTACCCTTCTCAAGCCACCACCTCACCCCACGCCCTCCTCACTCTCCAGGACCAGGAGACCAGGACCTTTACTCGTCGCTTGCCTTGGCCGAGCCGCCCAGCGTCGCCTGAATGTGCGCGAGAGCCTCGTCCTCCACAATAATGTGATCGGCGTGGAGGATGTCAAGCACGTTGAGCGAGCTGGCGGTGTTGAAGGTCAGCTTGGCGATGTTGCGGCCCGCCAGGTGCAGATCTGGGCGGGCGTCCTTGGTGATTAGGAGCACCTTGCGCGACATCACATCGGCACCCAGCTGGGGGGGGATGTGGGTTGCGATTAAAGGGTTGAAGTTAGAAGAGGAAAAGGTAATGGAAAGTCTGGGCCCGCATAGCAAGTCGGGATTAGGATTAGGAGTTGATGTGTTAACAATCCTTATGTGTTAACAACCCTTAAGAGAACAACTAACGGGGGGGGGGAAGCAACACCGATGTAATATACGCGTAGAAAGGAAATGGCGCACGTAAGCAGGATTAGCAGACCAAGGACGAGGGAATACGCAGCGGAGAGGAAGTTGGGTGACGGAACCTCAAGCTATTACACCAATTCACACAAGGTGGGATTTGGGTTCGTGGCGAGTTTGGGTTGAACCCTGAAAAATAAAAAGCACAGCAAAGCGAGGGAAAGTCGAGGCCAAAGAAGCATAGGGTGCCTGCGGGCCCATACCTATATGGAAGGAATGCATCGCAAAATGGGGTAAGAAGTAGAGGAGCGGGAATCACATATGCGACTGCGTGAAAAGAAATCATGAACTATCGGGGAGGGGTGTCCGGGGAAGGGGTGTGACAGCTGCGCTACCGGCAATCCCCTGACCCGCGCTGCCAGCAGCAGAGAACGTCCTTTACCTTCTCCAGCAGCGCAACCATTTCCTTCGTCTTCGTCTCCTTCAGCTTGCCGTCAAGGCTCTCCACGACAATCATATCAGCGGCCGCGCTCTGCAGAGCCGTCGCCAGCGCCAGGCGCTTCTCCTTCTTGTTCATGCTGATTTTCCAGTCCTTGGGCTGTGGGTCGAACAGCGGCCAACCGGGTGTCAGCGCTGGGCGATGCAGGGAATCCCGGGATGCAACGTCCACATACCTTTGGGCCAAAGGTGACACCACCACCTGGGAAGAGCGGGGATACGCTGCTACCACGACGAGCGTTACCAGTGCCCTTCTGAGCGTAGGGCTTCTTGCCACCACCGCGCACCTCCGACCGCGTCTTTGTGCTGGCCGTGCCCTGCGAGCCGCAGAGACCATGCTTCTACTTAGTGGCAGCAGAACAAGCGAAATTGAGAATATATGATGCGCCGTTGGTTCTCGCTCCAGGCGCCCACGGGGCTGACGACTGCCGCATTTGCCCACTTGCAGAACCGCAAGTTAGCCGTTTGTAGCAAAGGCCCTTAATTATGTACAAACGGGTATGAGCTATGCTCAGGGACGAATCCCAGCCAGTAAGCTCAACGCCAAAGTCCATAAAGCTTAAGGAGTGGCGGCCAGAACAGAAGGATTCGTGCCCACCAGTGCGCCTGATGCACAGCCGAGTAAAGGCAAACTCATGTTGCTGCGATGGCCGCCTGCATACCTGGCGTGCATTCTGCTGGACCAGAACCAAGTAGCGGTGGACAAGGCCCTTTGCAGACTCCTCCGCCACCTTAAGTGCCAACTGCTGATTGCCCTTCTCACTGCCGTCAGCGGCCTTGTAGGGGATGGTCGCAGGCGGAGCGATAGCAGAGTTTACAACCACCAGACGCGGCTGACGGCCTACACAGGCCGGCTTGAACGCTTGAAGGCGCATCGTCTGCATTCTTGAATTGAGAGCAACACGTTGGTGCATCTAAGGGAATAGCACTCTTTTCAGTGCAGAATAGAAAGGCTTTAGTTTCAGGGTCATAATTGCGGGCCTTATGTGCGTCTCTTCTTGCCCTTTGCCACAACTGGCCCCGATGCTTAACGCAGATGCAAGTTATCATATTTATGTTTCCAATCTATATGCCTGGAATAATTCGGAATAACGTATACTAGGTGTCCTTTACCTGCTTCCCCTTCGAGCTGTGCCTTCTATCCGGATAGGAATTGGTGCCTTCCGTTTCATATTCTGCGCTCCTTTTACTTATCTCCATTATCCAACGAGGTAATTAGCATCGGGTGCACCTCTACCTCCTTAACGGGCAGGGTAAGTGTCCCCGCAGACGCTTCATGTGGCGGGCGCAAATGTCTTGTGTACCTTGCAACCCAAGCATGTAATCTGATAGTCACGGCGCCCTTAGTTACTTACGGATAGTTGACCGGAAGGTCGGCATGTCCAGCGTCATCCTGTACTACTGTCAGCCGTTTCTCCAAGTCACGCTTCTTCCTCCAATGCATAGCCTCTTTCTGCATCGTTGCTGCTGCCCGGACCGGCACACATTCCAACCCCATGAAAAAAGCGACTGAACCTGAAGTGCCATCCCATTCCAGCACACCGGAACTTGGAGAAAGCCAGTCAGACATCCTCATGCCAACACTTGTGCCGCATCTTTGCTAACTTTAACAGGCCGGCCGCAAACCGACTCTCCTGCACTGCAACGGGACCCATTTTCCCGTTACACAACAACGCATGCTACAGCGCGGGATAGATGGTGGGGCCCCATCAATCCTCTCGCCATCCAGATGCAACAGGGGCGCGCCGCCGCACCCATCGTTGCCGCGGTTTCGCATAGAGCTCATGCCGTACCACGACGCCTCCGACGCGTGATGTCCGAGGAGCAGCAGGTGCCAAGAAGCCACACAGTCCGCTTCCCGCCGATTTTCAAACGAGTGCTCCGAACGGATATGGTTGGATCTCATCATATCTGATCTGGGTCTTCCGATTCTCAATTCTCTCCACGCTGCCTGCGAACGGGTTAAGCTGAGCTAAGCTAAGCTAATCTGGGCGCAATTTAATTTCGTTTTCCGCCACTTAAGTGGGACTGGACTGGACTGGACTGGGCTGAGTTGAGCTGGCCGCCCATGCAATGACGGCCGGCAGTAAAACCCATGGCAACGGCGCTTTGGGAGCGGCCACAGAAGCAGCAGCAGCAGCATCGGCGACTGCGGCGGCGGCGGCGGCGCCACAAATTGGGCGCAGTAGCCGCGACAGCAGCAGTACGACCCTGCAGGCGGGTTCAGAGGTTTCGGACGTAGCGGAAGCGGCTGCTGACGTCAGCCAAGTCATCGACGGCGAACGAGGCGGCATCACCGCCACCGCCACTGCCGCCGCCGTCGCCATCCCATCACTCGACGGGCCTCTAAAGGCCGCCGCCGTGTTTTTTCCCGCCTCGGGGCGTCCTTCCCTGCTGGGGCCGACAACCATCAATGATGACGACATGCAGTACGATACCTACCGGCCCCAAGCCGCATCCGTCGCCAACAACGGCAGTGTACTGCACCCACTGCCGCCGCCGGCGCCACAGCAACCGCAACAGCAATCCACGCCTCGACAGCTGACGCCACGTCAGGGTGACCCGGTAGACGGGGAACCGCTGGATTCGGAGCCGCCGTCAGCGTATGAATCCCCCACCATGAGTCCCAGCATAACGGCAGAAAATTCCTTGGGGTACGGCATAGGCAGCGACGCCGCGGCGGGAATATCCACTACGGCAGAGGAACGGATGATGGTGCTGTGGCAGCGGCGCGCCGAGGCGGCTGCCGCCGCCACTGCCAGCGGCAGCGGCGGCAGCGCAGGCGGCGGGGCGGCCGACGGCGAAAGCCGTTTGACGCTGATGCGAAAGGTCCGATCTCTGCGATCGCCTCATCGGCGGGGTCTTGCTGCTGCGTGCTTGCACAGCATTCAGAACCGGTGGCGCCGCGTGTCGAATGCGGTCGCCGGCATTGTGAGGTGCGTGTATGTATGTATGTGTGTGTTGGGGACGGGACGATGGGTGGGTGGGATGACAATGGAGATGGGTATCTACCTGGCCCCCCTGCCCCACCTGGGTGGGACTTACTTGTCGCATTCCTTCCTTCGCATGCTTCATTTCCCCGTCCCCCCTTTTTTGTTTTCCCCCTCCCCTTTTGTCTCGTTGGACTTTGGATGCCGGCAGTTCATTCCTGAGTTTTTATGGCATGTGATTCCCCCCTCGCGTCAATCGTCTATGCTTCGTCGTAAACCCCCTCCCCCTCTTCCCCCTCCCCCTCTTCCCCCTCCCCCTCTTCCCCCTCCCCCTCTTCCCTCCCCTCCGGCCCCGCAACCCCTGCTCTGCTACACTGACCGTAGGGCCCACAAGCTGGTGCTTGCGGACAAATCGGAGTTCGAAACTGACAACACTAGCGCTCTGAAGCAGGTAGTGTGGTGGTGCGGGTGGGATGGACACCGACTACGCGCCTTATGTCCTCTCCTCTCCCCTCCCCGACCACTACCCAACTACCTCCCCCCATCCCGGCTTTGGACGGCAGCAGCTGTTTTCCCTTCTTGACTTGCGACTATTACCGACCCCGCCTGCGCGGCCCCTGTGCGCCCCCTGTGCGCCCCCTGTGCGCCCCGTCTTCCAGGCTCAGACCGGCGCCCTCGATGTGGCTCTGGAGGTTCGCGACGTTCGGGACCTGGAGAAGATCAACTACGCGCACCAGGGCAACAAGGACATGTACAGTGAGGAGATGCTGGTCAGGAGGAGAGCGATCAGGACGCACCCGCAGGCAGGGGAAGAAGAGGGGGGAGGAAGGGGAGGAAGGGGGGTGGGCGGGGGGATGAGAAAGCGGGGCAGGGAAGAGCGCACACATGGTACGTGTGCGTGTGGGGGTGTGGGTGTGGGTGTGGCGGACCGGGGTTTGGAAAAGGAGGACGGGGAGGACGCAGTGTTTGTTTCTGTGTATGTGTGTATGTATGTGTGTTTGTGCGCATATGTTTGTGGATGAGCGTGTGGCGGGTGTGCGGGTGTGCGGAAGCGGGGGGGGGGAGGTAAAGGGGGGGAGAGGGACACCGGGTAAGGGAAAGAGAAAGCGAACTCACTACCGGTAACGCAACTCCAGGTGTAACACACTAACACATACAAACACACACTAACATTAACACTAACAATAAAACACACAAAGACAAGCACTGGTGCAAAACTAAATGTTTACGCTTGCAATAATTTGGACTGCTTTCAACAGAGACTCCCCGATCCCCTCTTTTTCCGCGCCGCTACCCTTCCCCGCGGGTGAGCTAGGTGGTGGAGGCCATTCGCGCCTGGTGGCGGTGGCTGCCCAAGTCCGCCACACGGGTAGTGGTGGTGGTGGGCGATGAGGACGGAGAGGAGGACGCGGAGGTGTTCACGGCGACACTGGATGAGCCCATATACAGTGCCATGGTGGTCGCGGTCACGATGGTGCGTGGGTGGGTGGGTGCGTGGGGGTGAGGACGGGGTGGGTGCGTGCATCACAAAGCTGCGAGATCCCCATAACCATTCCGCCAAGTTCTCTTTCCTTTGGTTTATTAGGGAAATGGATTGCTTTTCAGGATGATGGTGGGTGCAACCAAACTTGAACCTACCTAACCTTGACCTCCCTAAGTCCGTCAATCCTCAAACCTTGCCTCTCTTCTTCCCGGTGACAGGTTTTACTCCCCCGTTTCGGTTTGCCCGTGGACGAGCATTACGACCCCAAGGAGGATTGGTTGGACGACAATAAGGGATTGCCGTACATGGACTTCCCCAACTTTTTCGACTCGCTGTTCGAGGTGAGTTGGAAGAGGGTGGGGGAGGAGGTTGGGCGGAGGAGGTGTGCTGACGGTGGTGGACAGCCCCTCACCGCAAGCGACCGATATACATACATACATACATACATACATACATACATACATACATACATACATACATACATACATACATACATACATACATACATACATACATACATACATACATACATACATACATACATACATACATAACACACACATATCATAGGGAATGGCAGGGTGTGGGTGTGCCGAGGAGAGGTCTCGCGCTCCCGCTCTCTCGCTCCTAGGGGGTTCATCTCCTCAACACCTACCCCCGCCGTCACTAGCTCGCTTGATTTCCCCCTTTCCCCCCCATCCTGTGGTTCGTCTTACCCAATCACCATCCAGCTAACTCCACTTCACTAGAGCGGCTACATAACTATCCCCGACTCCTACACGCCAATGTAGATTTTTAAAACGCAGCTACAGCTGCAGCTGCAGCCCAATACGATGCGAGGCGAAAAGATATCGTTGGAGCTGTAGCATATGCTTGTTTAGGCAATTAGCTTTTATTGTGATTATCCTTCGTTGAAATTCGTCTTTATTCGTACTACTTCTACAGCTCGCAGATATGTGGTCTGAAGGCGTTGGCGGACCCGAATACGCGGAGCTGCTCAAGGTGCGGGCAGAGGAGGGGGGCTGCGGTGGTTTGGTTGGTGGTTGCCAGTTGGGGAAAGTGGTGGAATCTATACGTGTACCTGTATGTATGTATGTATGTATGTATGTATGTATGTATGTATGTATGTATGTGGGGGATGGGGTGGGTGGGTTGGGGGGTGTTTCCTAAGCAGGCCGGATGTACATGCACGCCACGCTTGTGTTTTTACTCGGCGTAGGTGGGGGAAGGGGGGGGGAAAAGGGGGGGGAAAGAGTGCGAGTGCCGACAAGCACGGGAGAGTACACGAGGGAAACGCTGCTGCAAGGCATCCCGTGCTTTATCGTAGCACGACATGTCGCTTTCTTCCGTACATACACACGTGCACACGGTCCCCTTCCCTTATGCCATCCCACCCCTTTTTTTCTCTTTCTCTCCCTGTACAGTTTCTCCTCGGCGGGGTGCAGGACATGGAGCGCCGCCGGGGAACATTTGGCCGTCTGTTGAAAAGGTTTGGCTACAAGCCGGCGGCGGCTCACGATACTGCTACTGCTACGGCTACTACAGCCGCGTCGCACCACAAAACTGCGGTGAAAGGGAAAGCGGCCGGTGCCGGCGGCGCCAGCGGCGGCGGTGGCACCAAGTCCCCCCGCGTCAGCACAACTCAGACCACTTACGGCGGCCACGGCGGCAAAGCTGGCGCTGCCGGCGCCGTGGCCGACGGCGGCAGGGGCAGCCATCAGTACGGCAAGCAACCGTCGCCGCCGCCGTCGCCGCCGCCGCCATCGTCGTCGTCGGGGCTGGCAGGAAAGGCTGGCAGGTCTTCCGATGGACCTCGAGTAAAAATTGACCCACGGGGCACACCGCCGCCGCCGCCGTCGGTGGCGGCGGCGGCGGCACCGGTAGCGCCGCCGCCGCTGCAGCGGCAGCCATCGGTGCAACAGCTACTGCCATCCGCGTCACGCACTAGTTCTGAGGAATACACGTTATCGGGCTGGCAGACGCACCGAAAGCTGCCGCCGATGGGCAGCGGCGGCGGCAGCAGCAGCGGCGGCGCCGGCGGCGGCGGCGAGGGCTCCGGCGGCGAGACGACGCGGACGATACCACTGCCGCCGCGGAGGTCTCGATCCCCCGTGCCGGTACGTATAAGGGGCGCCGTGAGGAGAAGGCGGGGTATTGTTGTAAGAAAGGAGGAAAGGTTTCCAGTACCCCAGGACTCCTATCGGTCATCCCCCCCCCTCCATCCGGGGCGCCACAAATATGACCATCGGTGTCATCTATGGGTTGCCACCCCCCCCCGGCTTTACGGACGCCCCTCATCTTCCCCCTCCACACACATACACGTACATACACGCACACGTACACATACACACGCACACACACACAGACACACAGTAGCGCGGAACTTAGTAACCGCTGTAACTCCTGTGGGTTTAGAGCCCCTCGTCGTCTGCGCTTCGTATGGCTGGCTGTTTTATGGCAGACCTTTCCCCCGGGGGGACATTCTTTTTCTTCCGGGGGGCCGGGGTGTATTGACACACACACACACACACACACGTGTATGACGTGACGTGTTTCTGCGCACACCTCCGATCGGGACTTGCCGCGCATACACCTGTTCAGACACGCACGACGCACGTTCCCCCACCCGCTACCCGTGTACTGCCTGCTATGTACGGCAGTTACCTGAGTACGAACATCTCGACTACTCGACCGTACAGTCTGCGTTGAGTGCGTACCTCCGTCAGCCCTTACCCAAGGCCGTGCTGAGGGGGGGAACAGGAGGAGTAGCCGCTAGCGGCGGCAGTGGCAGCAGCGGCGGTGGCGGTGGCGGCGGCAGCCGGCGTTCCGATGTCCGTCGCACCTCCGACGGCGTCTCCAGGGAGTCTTCGTTGGCGATGCTGCCGCGGCAGCAAGCTGGCGACGGCGGTGCCGGCGGCGGCGGCAGCGGCGGCGGCGGCTCTGGGCAACTGTCCTGGCATTCCCAGGCCGTGGCAGCCGGTGCAGCTGCCGCTTCCGCTGCAGCCGTCGCGGGCCAGCCTTCATTCCCGCACGTCTACGGCGGTAATTGGCAGCTTGGGGAGGGACTTCTTGCGCAGGCTGGTGCCGCCTCCGCTAGCGGCGGTGGCGGCGGCAGCGGCGGGCCCAACCTGCGCCGCGGCAACAGCGTCGGCTCCGGCCTGCGCAACGCCTCGTCGGGGGAGGTGCTGTACAACGAATCGCCGTACGGCCAGCTTGGCTCGCCGGGCAGCCTGTACGCCGAGTACATGGACGCCGTGGTGGGTTTGCGCGTGCGTCAACTTATGTACGTATAAAATGTATTTACACGTATGTATGCATGTTTGTATGTCTGCCCCGTCGCAGTGGAGGGGAAACGGTTATACGCGGCGCGAGATGTCGCCTCATCGACCTGACCCATCCCGACCCTTCCCCGTGCAGGTTAGCCGCCACGCCCTTCGTCAGCACGGCGGCGGCGGCGGCGGTGGCGGCGGCGGAGGGGCCGCCTCGCCGCCGCCTCCGCTACCGCCGCCTCCACCGGGCGTTCCGGGGCTGGCAGTCCTTGGCTCGCCGCCGCCCCTAGGGCCCCGCCTGCTCCAACACGCCGTCGTGACCGTCAGCGCCATCGGCGGCGGCGGCGGCGGTCATCACGGCTCCCCCAGGTGCGGATACATCCACACACAAACATATACACGAACAGAGCGTCTTAAACACGTAAACGGATCTTCTAAAAAAGATTCGTGTGTAGACTTCCAATGGACCAACAGACGACCCACTTTATCCCTTTACCCCCACGACCAACCTCCCCCGGATCCCCGCATGAGCTCCTCCTCTGCTTGTGCAACCCCACAGCACTCATACCTGTAAGGTCTCTCTTCGTACACCGTACGTCGTACCATTCACATCCTTATCGTACACTATCCCCCGCTTCCTACTTCCTTCTCGCTTTCCGGCCCCCCTGCCGGTCAGTCCGTTTGTTTTCTGTTAACCTTAACCCCCCGTAACCTTAACCCCCGGGGCGGCCTCCCCTGTTTTTATCATGTGGCAGTCCGGAGCGGTCCGTCGACGTCTCTAGCGACCCACGGGTCACACCAGCCGCCGCCGCCGCCGCCACCGCCACCAGTTCCAACCAGGGCGGCACTCCTGTGCTCCAGGGGAAGCATCCCTCGTCGCGGCCCTCCCAACTGCACCTTGGGGGGTTGCTGGGGGAGGGGAAGGGGGAAGGGGGGGAGGAGGGGGACTTGCCGGCACCGGCACGAACACACTGGTCCAGGTCCTCGGGGGAGTTGGTGCTGTCTTTCGGCGACTCGCCGCAGCTGCCGAAGCCGGGGCCGCCGCCGGCGGGTTTGGAAATGGATGATGGCGACGACGATGGTGGCGGTGACGGTGGTGGCGGTAATGGTGATAATGGTGGTGATGATGATGGTGGTGGCGGCGGAGAGGATGCGGTACGGTGGCAGCTGCTTCAATGGCCGCAGCACGAGCAGGAGCTACAGGATGGCGGCGGCGGCGGCGGCGGCGGCGGCGGCGGGGGGAACTTTGGGGATTCGGAGCTCTCCGTGCTTCCCTTCATCTCAACCTCCTCCTCAGGTGTGTGCAACTGAAGGTCCGGTCTGTGGTTCGCGTGCGTATGTATGTGTATATGTGTATGTATGTATGTATATATGTATATATGTATATATGTATATATGTATATATGTATATATGTATATATGTATATATGTATATATGTATATATGTATATATGTATATATGTATATATGTATATATGTATATATGTATGTATGTATGTATGTATGTATGTATGTATGTATGTATGTATGTATGTATGTATGTATGTATGTATGTATGTATGTATGTATGTATGTATGTATGTATGTATGTATGTGCATGTGTGTTCAACAAGAGAAGGGGGGAGGTCACCGTAGTTGCAAGGACGTGCGCCCGCGTGTGATGAAGTGGATGGGGCTGTTTGGTGCCTTACAATTCCTTCTTTGTAAGGTGCCTCCGGAGCTGCGGGAAGGGGGGGGAGGTGCAAGGGGAACCGCCCTGGGAGGGGGGGGCAGGGCAGGGACCTGGGAAACGTCGTCATGGAAGAAAAAACATGAAAGGTGTTTTTTTTGCCGCCTTCCGAGTATCATGTTCCCGTTCCCTCCTTTTCATTGCTTGCTTGTTCCCCATGCCCTGATGTGCAGGACGTGCAGACCGCGTCAGCTGTGGCGACGTCGGCGGCGGCGGCGGCGGTGGCGGCGGCAGGCGCTCTACCTCGCCGACCTCCCCTTGGTCGTCCTCGCCGACGCCGATGGCAGGGTTACCACGAAACTTGCGCCACGCCTTCTTGTGTGCCGCCGCGCCGGTGACGGCGGCGTCGATGCCGACGCCGCCAGGCGGCGCGGTCCCGGCGCCGCCGCCGCTGCGATTGACTCCGTCAGCGGGCATATGCCTCGTGGGTGTCGGCGACGGCGCCGCCAACGACGACGACGACTACGACGGTGATGGAGGCGGCAGCGGCGGCGGCGCCGCCGCCAGAGCGACCACCCCGCCGGCGCCTTTGCTTCGTGGCCGCGTCATGGGCCCTGCTCCGATATTGATAACCGTCAATAGCAGTGCCCCGGGCGTGGCAGCTCATGGTGGCGGCAGCGGCAGCGCCGGAGGTGGCGGAGGTGGTTTCCTGCCAAGCAGTGTCGGCGGCAGCCGCAGCCCACGTGGCGGCGGCGTCGGCGTCGGCAGCAGCGGCAACGACCGGCCGCAGGGGCTGGTGGCGCTCGCCGCCGCCGCTGCAGCGCATTTGCCCACGATCAATAACCACGTCTCGCCGCTCATCATTCAGGACGGTGTTGGCATTGGGTTTGGCATGGGTGGCCACGGCGGCTCGCCGGGCCGTTACAACTACAGTCAGTATCATCATCAGCAACAGCCTGGTAGCGGCGGCAGTGGCGGCGGCGCATTGCGCGGGAATTCGAGCGTGCCGCCGCCGAGTCGGGTTTCCTGGGGCAGTAGTCCCGCTCAAAATACCGGCAGTAGCGGCGGCGCCGGCGCCGGCGGCGTCCTTTTGCCCCACTTGTCCTTAGACTCAAGATTGGGGCTTAGCAGCGGAAGCAGTAAAGCTGGCGGCGGCGGCGGCGGCACCGGCGGCGCTGGCAGCCGAGGTGGCGGCGGCGGCGGCGGCGCTGGTAGCCGGGGCTTTGAGATTACCCCACCGCCGACGCAGGCCCGCCGCGATGTCGTACAGGCATCACGTGCCCAGGTACGCTCAGCCCTTGTTTCTTCCGGCTCTGGGACTTCTGTCCTTCTGTGTTCCCCTGGCCCTGATGCTCTCCTGCGAACCCATCCTCGCCTTCACTCTCCCATCCATTCTCCCATTCACCCATTCAATCGTCCATGACACTCTACAACACACCACGACACCTCCCCACAACCCTCTCAACCCTCTCTCGACAACGTGCCACAGGTCCTCAGCATGGCGCAAGCGCTGTTAGCTCAGCAACAACAACAGCAACAACCACATCACGCAACCGGCGGCACCAGCGCCGTTGCCAGCAGTAACAGCGGCAGTAGCCGCCTGGAGTCGCTGCGGCCGCTCGACGGCGGACTGAAGCGCGCCCAGTGCGGCGGCTCCTTCCTGACGTACCTCCAGCAGGTGCCGTACGGCGGCGGTGGCGGCGGTGGAGCCGCTGCCGCTGCTCTCAACGGCTCCGACGGCGGCCGGAGCCTCGGGGGGGGTCTGCCAACTCGTTCGGCGGAGCCAGTTCCGCTGGCATCTTAGAATCACGTCTGTCTGTTTATCTGTCTGTCTGTCTGACTTCAGGAGTAGCTGTTTACTGTCCGGTGTTTAGTGAGGAAGTGTGCGACGGGTGAGGCGCGCAGGGACGGAGAGGATATAACGAAGCCCAGACGACTATCGAAAAGAAAGGAGAGGGAGGAAGCGAGGTCCAGAAAGCGGAAAGGGGAAAGGGCCCCAAGGCGGAGGTGCGCGGTGCAACGGCGGCCCCTGCGCGTTGCCCTAACACAACTGATATGCCTAGCTTAGCTGGGATGCGCTTCGAAGTGAAAACTTTGGGTATCCCTTTGGGGCCGCCGCCGCCACTTCTTGGGCCGCCGTCACCGCCGCGGCCACCAGGTCGACGGATCGATAGACATACACCACCCATCGCTGTTGGCACTGCTCGAGTTACCTCTGGTGCCGGTGGTGCTGGTAGTACTGGTAGTGGTAGTGCTGCTGCCATAGCAGCTATTATTGCCGGTTACATATAACTGGCTGGTTGACAGTTGACAGTTGACGGTTGACGGTTTGTGTTTGTCGCACGTGTAGTAAAACCGTTATTGCTGAGGTAGGTACTTCAGTAGGCACCAAGGATGGTGGGAACGGTGGGTTGTGTTTTTTCATTGTGGGTAATGGGTGAGGTGAGACGACTCATCATTTCTGTACTTCTCTGGGTGCGATGCACACCCGCACCCACACCCACACACATGCAGATCGCCGTGCAAACTGCTGCTGCTGCTGCTGTGCCAATGCCAGCAGCCTGCCAGTCAGTACCAGGTCAATTACGTATAGAGCCAGCTGACCTCTAGCTGTCGTGGTGATAACACTGTTGGTGACCATGATGACGATGATGATGATTATGCACACCATGTTGCCGTACTGCGGTTGTACGGCACATTAGAGGTAGCAGGCATCCGGCAGGTTTAAAAGGTTGCCTCGCTGAAGCAAACGCACCTAGCTGGGTAGGTGGCGTCCAGATCGGGGGGGTTGTGTGGAGGGGGAGCTGGGATGTGAGCTGGGTCTCGGGTGATGGTGTGTTTTCGTGTGTTATAGTTGTTGTTGTTCTTCTTCTTCTTGTTCTTCTTGTTGTTGTTGATATGGAGTGGTGACGTGGCAGGAGGTCTACCAGCAATGCCAGGGGGCCAGCATTTCTAGGCAGAGGCAGTGCGGCGGGAAGAGGAGGGGTGTGTATGTGTGTGCATATGTATGTGTTAATGTGTGTATTTCGTTGTAGAGTCGCCACGTGCGACCGTTACGTGGCCAAATAACGGCCCAATGGCCCCGTGCATCAGGCGGTGAGGCGGTGAGGGAGGCTGTTGCCCGGGGGTGGTGAGGACAGGTGAGGGTTGTATGACTATATGTGTCGTTGCGCTTCTTGTGGGTGTCTGTCTGTCTGTCTTGTCTGTCTGTCTGTCTGTCTGTCTGTCTGCCTGGTCTCTCTGTCTCTCTGTCTGGTCTGTCTGTCTGTCTCTCCTTGTTTGAGACTTTTTGGGGGATATCGAGGAGCAAACAGCAGCACATGTGCGTCTTAAGTGCATATGGGAGGGAGAAGACGTGCCTCTGTATGTGTGTGTGTGTAGGGGTGGACGGGGGGAAGAGAGGAGCCATGGGGGAGGTCTCATAAAGGGGAAGTTGGCGGACCCTGGTGCTGTATTGGTGGTGGTTGCGGTTACTGGATGCTGCTGGCACAGGTGCAGGTGTGTGACGTGCGGTACGTAGAGCGCAGGTGGCCGCACTGACTCAAGCACGATACGATATGTAGTCATAGTGTGTTTTGTGTACGTACGGCCGCCCAAGCTAGCGAGCCTCATATGCATCGATACATATATGTATATTCATGGCATGCTATGCATGCTCAGGAAACGACGATTTTGACTTTTTAAAAATCTTGTGGTGCGCGAAGGAACGCGTCCTGGGATATTATTATTTGTCGACGCTTCCCGAATCAGTTGCAAAGGAGAGAAGCAGGAAGGATAGGAAGGGTCGGCGAGTCGGCCGTACTGCCGTACCGCTGTACCGCCGTACTGCCTGGGACTGAGTCATATCGCGCGCGCCCGCGCGCGAAAAGCATCTTTTCGCATACAGTTATGATATGTTTCGTCGTTATGGACCCCCCCATGCGTGGTGTGGTGTGTATATTGCTAACGACAGAGCTTAGGAACGTGTACAGAAGGCGCGCGGGTATGAGGGGCGAGGTGCGGCGAGCGACCTACGTGCTTCATCGGGGATGTGGGCCCATTGCAGGTGTGTGCTGTGTATGGTCTGGTATGTTGCGTGCGTGTCGGCGCGTCTGTTTGGCTTGTTGTCCTTTACTGACGATGAGGATGGGCCGCGCGAGCCTAGGTGTGCCGCCCGCGCGCGCGTAGCAGGCGCCGTTTCCTCTTATGTCGTACTACCGTACCGTTATACTACCACTTAATAATACCTGCCGTATAGGAAGGTAAGTGGTTCGATTTGAGTTTCTGTTGTGGCTAGGGGATTGCCAGTTCCGCCATCGCGGGGGCTCCGAGGCTGCATGCGCAACCCATCAATTACGGGTTCCTAACTAACTGAACCAACAATTAACAATAGCATCTTGGGCACCGTTCAAAAGAAACACTTTGCGCCTTCCGTGAGGCACCTCGTTCGCGTAGTCATCATTTAGCCGCTTGCAAGTTTGGTGTTAAACCGGGGCTTGAAAAAAAGCTAGCAACCTTGAGTCGGTGCTGGCTTGTTTGGCAGTTGGACTTATTTTGCGGGACCGGGCCGTCAGCACGTCTCCGGGAGCCGCGCTAGTTGTGCATCGCGCCCAAGGAGAAACAACTCTTGCTTAAGCGTGTTTCTCTGCCGCATCGGATCATGCACCTTAGGGATTGCGTTTCATGATTTGCTGTGTCGATGGTAGGTTCCCACGCGTCTGCAGGCTGGAACCTGCCTGTGACATCTGGTATTGGGCTTCTCTTTTGCTGAGCTCGCTTTCTTTGAGGAATTTCCATCCCCATCATTATGGTTAATCCTGTTGACCTAGGACACGTAACTCTGCTTGTTGGTTCCGGAGCCCGTAGAAGTTGGCTTTTGGCGGCTTGACGTATGTGCGCTGTTTGTATTTTTGCGCAGTTGTGTTGACGGTGCGGACTGCTCTCTGCTTTTCGTTCTCTAATGGTGATGGCTGAGCATGTGAAAGACTACAGTATTGTTTCGCTTTATTAATCCGCCTGTCCCTGAGAGCTGTCGGAACAGGTGCAAGGTGTTTGCTTACTGACAGTTTTCGGACACATGTCCGCGTCTTTAATTACCACAACGCTGTCAGTATAACTTGGGGTTGTCACACGGCATGTTGAGTTGCGCAGGTTGTAATTTCTGAGTTGCAATCTGGCTTGGAGGATCCTAACAATGGATTCATAATGTTGTTTTAAAATTCCGGCACGGCACGGTCACACAGCCATACGTGCCCTTCCTAACGTGGCCAATTAATTTAAAAAGTGCTGGATTAGACAAACAATCTGGAGACTAACGTTCCCGCTGTAACAATTACACACGCATATGATGACCTTAAGCTTACGGCCATGTCGGGCTCAACCCGCTATGCACACCACAATACGTTGTGGCGCTTTAGTACGCGTATCAGGCAGCGAAAAGCAATTTTGCTGCATGGAGCAAAACTTGAATTCCTGTACAGGTTATCTGTGATATCTTGCCCTGTTCTCATCATGTTACAAACCGGCGGTGCATGGCTTCCTAAAATTTGTAATACTTGCAGTACCGTACAATGCCGGCCTAGAAGCCCGATCCGCAAACACAACTTTTCCTTTTGCATAAACTAAACGGCTTGGATTGCCAGAGGAGGTGCACATCTGGCCCCAACCCTAGGTTACCGGCACCTACCTTTTTTCCGCGATGTGGACTCTTACCCCTGCCCAGCGGGAGGATGTCCTCCAGCGACTTATCGCTAGCATATGTGCAATGGCACATGCGCGAGGTTTAGAGCTTAGCTCTGAGGTAGGATTTCCCGCGCATCGAGCCGGCAGATCGAGGAACTGACCCTAACTTCACCTTCCTGTTCAGCTTATGGATGGCAAATTTAATATATTAGATATGAGCTGCACTCGCTTTTTAATATTGCTGAGGTTGAAATCCTTTGAAACGCCCTTTACATGCGATACCCAGGTTGCGGCGGTGGCTGCGGCGGCGATTGAGAAGAAAGCCTACACAGCAGCGGAGGTTGCAGCCCGAACAACGACTGGGGATAGGCCCGCGGCAGAAACCACCTCGGCGTACGCTAGGTGCGACAACGGGAGACGGTTAGTTGGCTGCCGGCAACACGGGCTGGCCTGATGCCGCCGGCCTGCATGCCACCTGCATGCCACCGACACTCCGTGTAATAATGGGCATCAGTTCAGGATTTGGGGGCTAGGGTGGGCGTTGCACACCGCCGGTTTCGCAAGGTGGTGCAAGGCGCAGAGGTCCTCCAGCCCACGGTGTTACCGCCCCTTCCTGCCCCTGTCTCAACCGCCTCACCATGCCTCCTCTACTACTGCCCCATATCCCCCTCACGCATCGTTGGCGCGACGAAATATGAGATTCAGCACTCCGCTATCAACCACACTCTTATGATCCTGACCCACATGGGCATCCCTATCCCACCCTCTCCATGCTCGGCCGTGCGTGTTTAACGCCCATTCCCCGAGAGCCGCGGCTTGTCACGAACCGGGGCCCCTTCTCCGTTCCACCACCATCCGATCAAGCTCCCCCACCTTTCCCACTTGCACGCCCTGGCATTGCGACCTGCAGGAAGCTAGGTGAGCTGGCAATCCAAGTCGTGAAGGATGGCGGCAAGGTAGACGGTGCAGCGGCGGGAACAGCAGCAGCGGGAGCGAGTGAGGTGGTGGACTTTTTGGACCTTGTGGGCTCGCGGGATTTCCTGACGGCGGAGGCGGCTGAGGCTGTGCTGGCTCCCATGCTGGCGCCCGGCAGTTCAGTCAACAGGGTCAGTTAGTGGGTGCGGATGTCTTCGTGTGGGGGTACCTTCGTGTGTTCCTTCCGCGCACACACTAACACATCTGTCTTCGTGTGGGGTGTTATTTTCGTGTGTGCACGGAATTAACACATCTGGGTGTGCATGCCAGGAAAAAGCTATCGATTTGGGTCAGTGAGGGTTTTGAGGATTTCGAGAGTTTGTTTTACATGGAGCGCTTGCTTGCACGTCGGGATCTGGGTTTGGGGGAAGGTAGTAGTTCGGACTGGTGTGAGTAAGGGAGTTACGGTGCGTGTGTTTGTCCGGGAGGAGGGACGCGGCTCGGCTGGATGTGTGGGGCGTTGACGCTGGGCGCTGGGGGAGGGATGTTGTCGTGTTGTGTACAAGATCTCGCCGCGCGGTCAAGGAAGGCATGTGATTAGGCTTGCTGCGGTTGTTGATGAGGTTGATGAAAAGGCGGTTCGTTTCGTTGGATCGATTTACCCATTGGTGCAGTTCCTGATGCCGTGTTTGCATCGATAGCCGCCGGCTGATGTGGACATACAATGACTCCTCCTGTCCTGACTCTGATTTTGGTAAAATATTATTACTATTATGTTCGCTAGGTTAATGTCATCCTCGATTGCTCTCCCGTATCGTATTGCGCATTCGTAACCGTTTCTCCCCCTCCTGCACATGGGTGGGTGGCTCCGCAGATCCGCTTCAGCACCAAGAGCTTCGGTCGGGATGCCGCCGCAGTGGCTGCCCGTGCTCTTCAAGCGGTATCTTGCAGCCTCCTAGAGGCGGACATCTCCGACGTCATTGCGGGCAGGCCGGTGCGTGAGGAGGGAGAGGGAGGAGGAGGAGGGGGAAGGGGGAGGAGGAGGAGGAAGAAGAGGGGGGATTACGGGAAAAAGGCGATTGTTCTTCTGCGGAGGTGGTTCTCAGGGGAGAGCCGCAGTGTAGTTTAGAAGGATGGACCCTTGACAATTGAACCCCGTAATTGGGGGTCAAGGCAACCGAAAATTTGGGCCTGAATCTGATTCACGAAAATCGGGAAAATCGGGAAAAGTACAGGATGGAGGGTGAGGTGTGGATGGCGGGGCTAGGAGAACGGTCCCTTCCGGGCCAAAATTTCGCTGTGTCCCTAACCGAACGCTCCAACCGCCCTGTCAAACCGTTCCCCTCGCTTCACTTCCCCATCCACCACCAGGAGGATGAGGCCCTTGACGTGCTGCGAGTGCTGTCCTCGGCGCTGTCGAGCGCTCCCCGCCTGACTGCCCTCAACTTGTCGGACAATGCACTGGGGGAGAAGGGCGTGCGCGCGTGCGAGGCGGTGCTGGCGGGCAAGGTCAGCCTGCGGGTCGGGGTCGGGGTGGGGGTCGGGTTCGGGGGGGCTCCGCCGCCTGGCGGGGCGGGGGGCCTGGTTTGGAGCTATGGATAAAGACGCGGGAAAAAGAGGACATCTTGAAAGATGCGCTGGCGTGTGCATGAAGCAGCACAGCGTACAACACAGCATATCTGTAGAAAAAATATTACGGACCCGTAGGCCCGTAGGCCCATAATGTATGATGCCTTCCGCTGCAGGCCCCCCTGGAGAGCCTGTCCCTCCAAAACGTGGGTCTCTCCGTACACGCCTGTCGCGCTACCTCGGAGCTGCTGGCGGACCCGTCCCGCCTGCGTCGTCTGCAGCTCTTCAACAACATGAGTGGGGACGAGGGCGCCGGACATATTGCCGGGCTGCTATCACGTGCACCGCAGCTGGAGGTGGGGTGGGTGAGGAGGGGGCCCGTCCCTGGATCCGCATGTTATATATGTATGTACGTATGTATGTATATACTGCGGCTGCGAGAACTCGCATTACATATATAAATATATACATTTATGATGTGTGGGACAGGGGTTCATATCTTCACCCGTGGCAGCTACCCGGCGAAAGCCTGCCTTCCCCGGTATTTCGGGGCACCCTCATCCAGTCACCCTAGTCAACTTCTCAGTGGATCGCTCAGGTTCCGCACCCACCACCAGCATCCAACGGAATCTGCCGGGTCGACAGCGGCCCAACTCCATTCCTGGTCAGCTCGCAGGTCAACATCGTACATATATACAGACTACATATATACAATATATAGCGAGTTTTCGCAGCTGCAGTTTTCACGACGCGGTTTCTATCGTCGCGGATGGCCCCTTGGTGTTGTAGCTGTCTCTCTGGCCTTGTCGCCTGAGCCTGGTGCTTGTCCCGGTCCACCACTGGACCCCAAGATGCGCCCACCTAGGGCCGGCCCGTCCTCTTTTCCTCCGCCTCCGCCCCGCACCCCTGTGTGCACCAGCTGGCCTCCCTTCGCCCTCACACTCCGGTCAACGAGGATCCACACTTTTGGTGTGTGTGTGTGTGTTGTGGTGGCGCATTGGCGCTCGAGCCTGCCTTATCTTTTATTCCTACTCCTTCCCTTCCCTTCCCTTGCCCCATTTACTCTAATATTGTGCGGTTCTGTAGTAAAATCAAGTTTGCAGTTGTACCTCCCCCCCAACCCCAACCCCAAACCCCTCTCCTCCCCCGCCGCCGCCGCCGCCGCCGCACCCTGGCCGCCTCCGTAGGACCTGCGGTTCGCTTCCAGCCGTGTCGGACCCGCGGGAGGTGTCGCACTGGCCAAGTCGCTAATGGCTGGTGGGTAGGGTGGGGGTGTTGGCGAGTATGGGAGGGTGTGTGTGTGTGTGGGGGGAGGGCCTCAAAATGTGCACAGAAAGGGCGCTGCTGCACCAAAAGCGGTGGTGTGTGTGTGTGTGTGTGTGTAACCGGCAACTCCAACCACTGGTCGCCACTGGCCAGAAATAGCTCCCCTGGAACATTTGCTCTTGGGGACATGCTGGCAATGCAGGCTTACCACCAATGAGCGAGCTGGGTCGTTAAGGCGCTTAAATGAAACCTTATTGATCCGAATTATCATCGATTCAGCACGATTGAGCCATGCAGTGCAATGCCAAAACCAACCCGCACTTCAAACCTCCTACGTCTTCTCCACCCTAACCCCTCCCCCCCGGACCACCACCGCCACCACCAGGTGCCCGACTCGTACGACTGGATCTGTCAGACAACCCCCTTACCTCGGAGGTGGTTCCGGAGCTGGCCAAGGCACTGGCGGCTCAGCCCACCCTGCGCGCCCTCAACCTCAACGATACCTCACTTGGCCCCGACGGCGTCACGGAGGTGTGCCGTACACTGCTGCAGTCGTACAGCAGCAACAGCAGCGGTCCTCGTCAGCAGCTGGAGGAGCTGGGGTTGGCGCTCAACGAGGTGGACCCGGCAGCGGCACGGGTGAGGGCGTGAAGGGCTGTTGGGGCTCTGGAAATGACCTGCTTGACGATGGTGATGGCGTGGGTGGGTGGGTAGGCAGGGAAGGACTTCGGTACTACTTCGGCTGGTAAGTAGATGAAATAAAAGATTAATTAATATTCTTTTCGGCCTGTCCTCCCGTTGTCACTTCCCACTTTGCAACCCCTCCTCTGCGCTCTTTTACCGACTGCTGCTTTACGGACCTCCTCCCCGCCGGGATCCAGGGGGGTGACCCGAGGGGAACTCGTGGAGTGCCCACCATGTCACGTTTGTGGTAATGCAAAAGGTTCGTGTGGTCGAGATGTCGATGTTCACGTGTCCCCGCTGCTAAGTCCGCCCTTCCCGCCCTTCCTGGACCTGGGCCCCGCGGTGGCAGGCGGTGGCTGCACTGGTGGTGGCTCACGCCTCCAGTCTCCGGCTGCTGAACCTCCGAGAGAACGAGCTGGGGGACAGGGGGGCGCTGTTTCTGTCCCGGGCGCTGGGCGCGCTGGCGGAGCCGCAAACAGTTGACCTGGTGGGAAATCAGGTAAGAGGTGTACGAGGGGCAGACCAGGAGAGGAGGAGTCTGAGGAGGAGGGGAGGGGGGGAGGAGGAGGGGGAGGAGGAGGAGGAGGAGGGGGGGGAGGGGGGGAGGAGGAGGGGGAGGAGGAGGAGGAGGGGGGGGGGAGGGGGGGAGGAGGAGGGGCAGGAGGACG